TGCGGATCACCTCTCACTCTTTCTCATCCTTTTACACTTACCAGCTATTCTCAACTGTCAAAATGACAGGAGTTGTTCTCTAAACATAGCCACTGTAAAAAGTTGTAATGTTCATAAACACAGAGGAAAGAGAGAGACCTACAGAGTTCTACTTGTCTATCTATTCTGTTCCATTCATCTGCATATCAAAGGGATAAGCTTTGATCTGCATATGATGTCAATTAAGCCTTGATTCACACTGATGCGATTTTTGATGCATTCCAGAAGGCATGGAATCGCATGATGAGTGAAATGACACAAGTTTCTATAGAGGCCAGTCACATATTTGCAGTGCGATTCTGATGCGATTTGTTAAAAGGGTCGTGTGTGAGTTTAGTGTGATACAGTGCAATTTGTAGCTACATAGACTTGAATGGAGATTGCTTATCTGTCCTAAGATAACACGATTCCAGTACCTTTTCTGCAAGTCTTTGATTCGTCCCTTATCTACGATCCGTGGTCCATGTCATCAGAGAGACAGAGAGAGAGACTGGCTGAGAACTCAAAGCCAAATCGCATCAGAATCACTCCTGAATAACTTAACCCCTCCTGAATAACTACCCCTTGAAATTTCCCTGAAACTGGTGGGTGAATCACACCGCATCTATGTGAAACAAGTCTAAAGCAACCGGACAAGTGAAAAAAAGATAAAAAAATAATTTTTAAATAAAATGTGTTCCTAATAAAGTCCTTTGTAACCCTTAGCCTACCCTAATCAGCATAACTCCTCCCCCTTCTCCCCTTAACGATTTATTTTCCTGCTATTATTTTTTTAACTTTCTGTTTTTCTGATCATTAATATTTAAAATTTTTATTTGTTTTATTTCTTTTCAGTTTCACTTTAACTGCTTAAGGACTGCCCTATAGCAGATATACTGCCACAGGGTGGCACCTGTGCGCAAAATCACTTATATATATGTGATTTTGCATTTCCGGGTAAGGGGCACATGCGAGTCACACGTTCCCTACCCACGCCGCCATTTGCAGCCGTGGATGTCAATCACTAGGTCCTAGCTAGTAAGTACCTGCCGGTGCCTGGTGATTACCGAGCATCTTCGACGGGGAGGAATTTTCCTTCTTGTCACCTTGAGCACACTGCTCAGGATGGCTATGCACAGTACAGCCATCTCAATCAGTGTGCTTACAGTGAAGAACACCCCCCCACCACCACCACAGTTAACCATTTGATCGCCCCTCACATTAACTTCTTCCTTCTCAGTGCCATTAGTACAGTATCAGTCCTTTTTTTCTTTTTTAGCACTGATCACTGTATTGGTGTCATTGGAGATGTCAGTGACACCAAGTTAGTTCTCCCCCAGTGTCAGAATGTCCACCGCAGTCCCACTTAAAGTCGCTGATCACAGCCATTACTAATAGAAAAAGAAAATCCCATTATCTATACCACCATTTGTAAACGCTGTAACTTTCACATAAACCAATTATTTACACGTATTCAGATTTTTGTTTTAGCAAAGACATGTAGCACAATACATTTTGGCCTAAATTTATGATGAAATTTGACTTTTTTAATTTTTTTTACTAGAAAATTTTAATAGCAAAAAGTAAAAAATTTTTTTTTTTTTTTTTTCAAAATGTTTATAGCACAAAAAATAAAAACTGCACAGGCTATCAAATACCACCAAAAGAAAGCTCAATTCGTGGGAAAAAAAAGGACGTTAATTTTATTTGGGTGCAGCGTTGCATGACTACGCAATTGTCAGTTAAAGTAACGCAGCGCCGAATGTAGAAAATGGCCTGGTCACGAAGGGGGGTAAATCCTCAGGCAGGCAATTGGTTAAAAAGCTCAAAACTGGAAAAAGCCTTTATTTTATTTGTAAATAACTTTGCAATACCTTGTACCAGAATTGTTATTTTAGTGTTTTTTTTTTAAATGGGGAAAACATTTTTTTTTTCTTTTTTTTTTCTTTTATGGATTGCATGAAAGATAATTTTTGCAATGCAGTATCATTAAAAAAGGCTTCTTTTGTCCTAAAAAAATGATTACTTTATGATAAGTTATTGCCGAAACAATAGGCCCATAGCTGAAATTGCTGTGCTCCATAGGTGGTATACAGGTGTGAGAGGTGACGTGGTTGTTATTCTGAACACACTGCTCTGTAACACTGCGGCAGTTTATAATGCTCTTGCTGTGACCTTTGTGAAAGGAGGAGGCCTCAGCAGCACAGGGAGAATACATTGAATCATTTATTCTATGTCCTGTTGATCATAGCATCGTTTCACATGTTCCCGTCAGAGGAATCCATTTCAGTGTACAGCTTCATGAACTGTTTCTTGGATGCTGTTGTAGAAGAAATTCTTCATGTAATTCTTGGCATTTGTACTGGTCTTCCCTCCACAGAACGCACCCACACATTGCAGCATTGAGTCCTGCTTGCATCTTAGATGTGAGTGGGTGGGGGTTTCCTGTAAGGAGGGAATGCTGAAATGAATCTTCCCTGTATTAGTATCCTTGTTGTTTGTTTCAGCTTGATTTCCAGTGTATCTCTTTACATGCGGTATAATATGAGCCACGTTACATTAGGATGTAAACCTTTGCTCGGTAACAGGTTTAAAGGGTCGGAAACTTTCAAATACAAATTATTTTCATATACATTTGATTAATAACATTCACAGATATGTCTGTATAAAAAACTGATATTATAGAGAAGATGAAACAGCTTTCAGTTTTCCTCACTTTACTATTTAATTAAATTAATTCTGTATTTTTTTAAAATAAAAGACGTGGCATACTTACATGCTCTGTGCAATGATTTAGCACAGAGCAGCCCTGATCCGTCTCTTCTTGGGTCCCCCACTGGCACTCTTCTTGGTTCATCCCCCGCCGCCAAGTGCCATCATAGCAAGCTGCTTGCTCTGGGGGCACTCGTGCTTGCTTGCTCCTGAGCCACCTCTGTGTGTCCTTAAGACTCACAGAGCGTGGATTGCTGCCCCCCACTTGCTCCCTCCTCACTGGCTGTGATTCACTGACAGCAGCAGGAGCCAATGGCTCCGACTGCTGTCTCTAAGCCAATAAGATGTGAGAGAGCTGACAGAGTCTTGGCTTTCATGCAAATCACTGGATGAGGCTCAGGTGAATATAAAGGGGATGGGGGGAAGCTGCATGAATGGTAAACCTTTTGCTGTTACAATCACCTTAAAGGATAAGTTCACCTTTTCTACAAAAATAATAAATGCACTTTTTTTGCCGGTAAAAAAATGTGCATTTATCTTTTGTCCAGAGGAGCCTGGAAAGAATTGCACCCTCAATCAATAGATCGCTGGTGCCATGCAGGTCTCCTGCAGACCTGTCAGAATATCTGCTTGCTCGTACATCCCGCTGTGGTAGTTCATTGAAAACTACAAGCACCCAGCCGCTAAGGCTGTCAGGACTTGCAGTTCATTCATTCATGGAAGTCTGAATGAATCACAGGGCCATGTGGGCGGAGCCCCACACGGCTGCACTGTTTTCAAATTTGATAGATAGTACAGGGAAACTTCTCCCTGTACTATCTGTCAGAGGGAGGGGGGGAGGGGGGGTGGCGGACATGGTTGCAGCTATGGGAACATGTCACATGTTCCATCCTAAAAACAGGTAACATGTTCCAAAAGTGAACTTCTCCTTTAAGGCCTCTTGCACATAGTACTGATGTTTTGAGTATCAGCATTTGTGGCCATAATTGCAGGCATTTGTTTTGCACATAATTTTGTGAGCATTTGTGTGCACAATACATTCTTGGGCAAAAGCCATGAATATTTATGCTATTATGTGCATATTTCCATGTTCCCTTGCAAAATAATGACCAGGAACACACATTTTGTTTATTTTTTTTACTCAAGAATATGCAGCAGTTGTTTATGAATCTGTGTGCACAGGCACATTGTAAACAATGGGCTGCATTTCAGATCAGTTAGAAAATAACACCGTACTGAGCTTGTTCAAGCTGCAGTGTGCAAGAGGTCCTAATGCCCTATGTTATCATTTTAAAGACCATTTATTTGAAGTGATCTTCATGGATACAAGTTTTGTGATTTGTGTGTATTATTCAAATACCGGCAGCTTCATTCTCCACCACAATTTGAAAGAGTGTACTGATCAGTATTCATCTGTTCCTGAAAGCTTTGTAAATGTTCCCTAAATTTGATAATATATGTGGTTCTGTTCAATAAAAAGTCTATGTATTTTTAGTAACACATAATGCATCATCTGAGATTTTAGTCAGAGACAGTGACTGGAAGGTGACCTTTTCATCTGTGCTTTCCCTTAGTTCCCTGGGAATCCTTTAAGAGTGAAATCTATATTTAATGCATATTTGTAAAACAAAGCTTGTGTAAACGCACACATGAAAGATGGTTCTGGCACAGAATACTTAACAGACCCTGACAACATATTAAAAAATGCAAGTAAAAGCATGAAAAAAATCGAGTATTTCCATGCGTACCTGAAGTGTTTTCCTTACATCATTTTTTTAAGTCTCTTTCAATAGGCCTTTTGTTGCATCCAAGATTGTAGCACCTGCTAGCCGCCGCAGGGTTTTTAGATGTCTTCACAAAGGAGACTTTTACAAGTAAATAGCATGCATACAATATGGTAAATGCACATGTATTTTTATGTGAATATTTGAAGTAGTAGGCTAGTGACAGGATCTCTTCAACAAATGTGAGCTGGGATGCAACAGGAAAACTAATATAAACCATCAAATTACATTTTGGCAGTCTGTTGATGGGGCGATTATTGGCATCTGGAAGCCCTACCCCCATGTGAATGAGTACCCTTGGTTACTCATTCACAAAAAACAATTGATAAGTATGTAAAGACACCACACACCCTGGTAATAAGGGTCATTTTAATAACCAAGGTCTGTTAGGACACCACACATTGCATGATTTTATGTACCAATTTATTGCAGCCAAATACAAATTAATTTTTGGCAACCTCATTCTTTTTTTTTTTTTTCTTTAAGGCGCTAGCCGAGATGAGATTTTAAAGCACTGGCAGTGGCTGGAACAAAATGTTATGAAGACATTGTCAGTATTTGACTCAAGTGATGACATCACCAGTTTTGTGCAAGGCAAAATCAGGGTAGGTATATTTTTAATTAACATTTGTTCAGTTACAAATACTAGAGGTAATTGCTTGCATATATATATATAACACAGTAGAGACCACAGTGAAGTCAAATCATTTTCCTTTTATTTTCTTTGCAATGTTACCCTGATAGCCTATTGCATATAGCCTCACTAACAATTTACATTTGTTTTTTTTTTTAATGGTTGAACTGGATGGACTTTTGTCTTTTTTCAGCCAGACTAACTATGTAACATTGAATTTAAGGCAACACTTTCCTTTACCATTGATTATACAGAAACTGCAGTAAGATCTGAACTGTTTAGCTTATAAACAACTCATTGGTGCATGATCTTTAAACAGAAACTGCTCCAGTCTATCCTCTGAGACCCAACTGAGTGTAGCCATCTTGCCTTTCAGATAGCATTAAGATAGTAATGTCAAGCAATCACTCATAGACCACACTTCAAAGATTCATTTACCCTTCCCGTGACAATCATGTTTCACTACTTTCTGCATACCTCAGCTCCAAGGATAGTGTTTAGAGCTGGGGATGAGGGCTAAAGCTGTTCACTTGGCAGAAAGTCAATATTTGAATATCAGTAAGGGTCAGTGTTGATGGGCTTCCCCTCAAAATCTATAGGTATGCAGAATCAGCTTGAAGCAGATGAAATGTGGATCAGTTTCAGGTCAAATGTACTTACAATATATTCTATGTGCTTTAAGAAGCCAATTGATGTTTGAGGATGCCCATTAGGGCCTGTTGACACAGCCACTAATAGTGTTTAAGTGAAACAGAACAGCTAATCTCAGCGCTCTTCTTGCTGGATTATTATATCCAATTAGATTAGATAGTGTATGGAGATCTGTAATAGATGTCCTAATATTGACAGAAAATCAGCCTGCTGGCATCTGGAGGCTGAATAATCTAATAGAGAAAGTGATGAGTAAGACTACAGTCACACTTATGCGACTTGTCATGCAACTTTGGACATCAGAGTTGCATGTCAAGTTGTACCCCGTGTTTTCCAATGATAATCCATTCATATATGTGCGACTTAAAGTTGAAAAGACTTTAAAGTTGTTCATGCACTACTTTGGTCCAACTTTCATGCAACTTGAGGGCCATAGACATCAATGTTAAGTCGTATCTGAAAGTTTTACATGCAAGAGTGGTGCAATAGTGGGTACGACATTGTTGTACCCATCCAAAGTTGCATCAAAGTTTCACTCCAAAATCATGCAACTTTGGAGTCCTACAAGTGTGAATGGAGCCTTAGCCTTAGATGCAGTGTGTAAAATTGCCTAACAAATTAGCAACAAGTCACAACAAACAGATGACAGTAGCAAATGCAAAAAATCCCGGAGGTGTGGGCTGGTGTTAATTAACTAATGGAGCTTTGCTTCAGCTAGCTGGACAAGGTTGCCTTCTCAGACAGGCTGGGAACCCCAAGGCTGCAAAAGAGAGAGGGAAGGGAGGGAGAGGTGCCACTTGTGTAGTAAAATCACTTTATTAGGAATACAAATAGTCGATATTGCATTCACAAATGTCTATGCATGCTCACATGTAGAAGTAAGGTAGTTCCAGGGTCAAGGAACGATGATCATATCTTCCAGGTAGCTGCTTCAGACTGAAGATGAAGGTGGGGTCTTGCCTTTGAAACGTGTCTCTGATTGGCTTCTGCGTCATTGACTGTTTGCTTGACAATTCCTGAAGGGTTCCTATTGGCGGCTCCATGGGAGACTGCACAGGCTTCCTTCCATCCATCAGTGGCTTCCAGGAGGATATGATCATCACTCCCTGACCCTAGAGCTGCCTTACTTCTACATGCGGGCATGTATAGACATTTGTGAGCGCAATATCTACTGTTTTTATTTCCTAATAAAGTGATTTTACTGAATCAGTGGCTGCTTGGTACCTCTCACTCCCTTTCCTCTCACTAACAATGTTTAGGTCTCTTGCACACGGTACTGCTGTTTGAGCATCAGCATTTCTGGACATAATTTCAGATGTTTGTTTTGCACGTATTCACACGCACAATACACTCCTATGCAGAATCCATTAGTAGTTATGTTCATGGGCAGCACAGTGGCTAATTGGTTAGCACTTCCGCCTGGCAGTACTAGGGTCGTTGGTTCGAATCCCAGCCACGGCACCACCTGCCCAGGGTTTGCATGTTCTTCCTGTGCCTGCGTGGGTTACCTCTGGGTACTCCTAAATGCTGGTAGGTGAATTGGCTCCTGTCTAAATTGGCCCTAGTATGTGTATATATGGATGTAAATTAGGGATCTTAGATTGTATGCCCCTTGAGGGTTAGGGACTGATGTGAATGTACAATATATATGTAAAGCGCTGCGTAAATTGACGGCGCTATATAAGTACCTGTAATAAATAAATAAATGCGCATATTTGCGCACATTTGTATGTTCCTGTGCAAATACTGACCAGGAACGCTGATTTTTCAATTTTGTTTTCTCTTTTTATTCTATTCACAGAGCTTGTTTACACGCCTGTGTGTACAGGCACATTGTAGACAATGGGCTACATTTTAGATCAGTAAAATAAATGTTGTACTGAACTTTTTCAAGCTGCAGTGTACAAGAGGCTTTAGTCTGCTTAGGCTAAAAAAATGGGGGAAATGGGTACACATAGGTGTCACTATGTTTACAAGCTTTAGGGAATGGAAAGGGTCACTTCAGATAAGGGCACTGTAGATGCGTTGGGAAAAATATTTTTTAAAAATAAGATTTAGAGAATAGCTAAAGGTAAGAATAGCTATAGGTAAGAATAGCTTTTAAAATTTGTGAAATGTCCAAATGCAATTTACTGCTTATCTTCCAGGGGCTCATTGCTGAAGAAGGAAAGGGCTCATTTGTAAAAGAAGAGGATCCTGAAAAATTTCGTGAAGCACTGTTGAAATTTGAAAAATGCTTTGGATTGCCAGACCAGGAGAAGCTGGTGACTTACTACTCATGCAGTTACTGGAGGGGGAGAGTGCCTTGTCAGGGATGGTTATACCTCAGTACCAACTTCATAAGTTTCTACTCCTTTCTGCTGGGAGCTGAGAGTAAGTACTTTTACCAAGGAAAAGCAAGATGCTAACTGAAGTAATGTGGATTTGTGGGGAAGCTTGTAGGACATATATGTTTATTAACTAGATAGCTCAAAATAATAGTTGAGATAGCAAAAGGTGCAATGTTCTAGAAATGCTGTGCTGTAAGCTTCGATTTCTCCGGTGAGGTCCTCACAGGCTGCACTTGGTTAAAAGGAAGATAGAACTGTATTTTCAGCTATTTTACTTTTACTTTTTAATTTTAAAGTTTCAGTGTTGGCAATTAAAGAAGACATGAGAAGACTCACTTTGTGTAGTTTAATTTAAAAATGTACAACGTTGTTAAGAAGTTGCACGTGATAAGGTCACGACTACAGAAATATCATAGCCCACGCATAGGCAATATATGGATTGTAGTGCTTTTACTACAATCCATATATTTTCTGGATGAATTAATATAATGCTCATGCATGGGCTTATATATTTCTGTGGTCATGACAATATAACATGTAATCTTTGACAATGTAAATTTTTAATGGCTTGAGTGAATCTTTTATTGCAATGGTCTATTTGAAAAGTGCTGTTTTGTATCCTATACTTATATTTAAAAAAAAAATATAGGAAGTGAAATTGTGTTTTTTGTTTCCCTGTTAGATACTTTAAGGAATAGATCTGTTAAATTACAAATGAAATTTGTATAAGTTTTAGACCATACATCAATGTTCAGGTTCATGTATACTTTGAAAAAATGGAGACTAGATTAGGCTCAATCCGTCAACCTAGGTGATATGTATTGCTTCCCCTTCGGGTTTTGTGTCGAAATGCAAACTTTGCTCTAATAGAAATACAGGATACACATTCAATTATATGGTTAAAGACAAATAATATAAGTTTAAGTTAATTAAAAAAATTCATTTAGAAAGGGCCAAATAATAACTCCTTGGACTGGGTTCCTTCTAATATGGTGGGTGGCTGCTTACAGGACCCATGACATGGCTCTTCTATTTTTGAGAAATATGGTGACCATACATGTGCAGTAGTGCTTGTTTGTTGTGGCCATTTTGGCCCCACACATGAGCTGTAGCGGGTGTAGTGATGCATGGAAAAAGGCCATGCTTTATCATGCTTGTATGGCAGAGTAAGATCTCTGAAGTTGCTACTGCACTTGTAATACTGCCACCATATTGTGATGTCAGAAATATAGCATCAGGTTTCTGCAGATGCAGAGTAGTGGCATTACACACTGTTCACTATCTATCATGCATGCGTGGGATCTCGCTGTTATATTTCTGACATCACAATATGGCGACTGTGCAGCACATGTGCAGTAATGACTAGTCTGTACTGCCACTACTGCACTTGTACAGGATATTGCACCATAAGTCTGCAACAAAATATTGCTGCCATCTGAACAGATTCAGGCTCAGACTGGCAAGGGAACTTTTTTACAGCTGTCACTGCCACCTCTCAGGTATTTTATCGGTGGCACAGAGGCCATATGTTGCCTCTTCAATGCCTATGTTAACCCATTGAAAAGCTGCTGCGTCACAACGCAGCTGTGTGCATTACACATAGTTGCAGAGAGGATTCAGTGCAGCACCACTTGTATAGGTTGTGTTTGGCAGCAGAACTGCCTGCCGAAAGTGACCTGTGACCCGTGGTCAGCTGTGGTCTTGACTACAGAACAAGAAGCACAACATGCATCCCCAGGGTGTCCAGTAGAAGCTGAGGGACACAAACTGAGCACACCAGCACTGATCTGTTTTCATCCATAGCGTAGTCAGAAAGCTCCAGGAATAGAAAGGGACTCACAGGATTACCAATTATTTGCTGATTAACATGAATGTTACTGAATGCGAAGGAACATGTTAAGGATTATTACTGAAAAAGGAATGCATTAATAAAGTATCACTGATACGGTTTACATGCATTTTAAAGCTCTATGTAGTAGTGCTCTATGGAGCAGTGTTTTTGAGCATTTTATATGCATTTAAAGCACATGACAAACATAAAACAGATCTCCATTCACATAAATAATGCAATATGGTTGAATGTTCATCTGTTAAAGTAGCCTGCATGTGATCTGCTTTTACATGCATTTTCAGGTTTAACACCCTTTACTGTAATGGTACAAATGTCATTGTGCATTTTGTGTGTTATTCCACATGGTTTTACCAGCACTCAAACCTGAACTTATCCCCTAATTTACAATGGAAGCTAACAACTTAACCCTCTCACCCTAAACTTACCCTTAACCTTTACTGGGTTAACCCCTGCATATTCATGCTTGCTTTGCCCTTCAAAGGTGTTTCATCACAGTTAAGTGATAGTTTACGTTTTTGGGGGTTTATTCACAAAATGTTATGTGCAAAGAGAGATCACACAAACGCTTGTATGAATAACATTGAATTAATGACAGATGAAGATAACAAATGTAATAATACTGGGAAATGTAACAAAATACTTAGCTACAGGTAGAACATAGATGCTCTTCCAAGGGTCTCCACCCATTTTCCAACTGTTTTGCAGAAGATCTGGGGCAGACATGCTTATCACAGTTCTGTTAGAGGACTAACTATTATAAGTTTTAGCTGTAGTATATACAGGAGTAGTTGGTAGCATTTGACCAATCGGGAGCAACATTACCTTTTAGAGAGAGAGACCTTAAAGTGGAAGTAAAGTTAAAACCTAAGGAACACTAAACCTACTCAGCCACATTCTAAGTCTGATTTATCTAGCCCTGTAGAGCAAAAATCACTATACTTACCTGTTCTGCAGCTGCTCCGGTGCGATCTCCAGGGGCACTCTCTGTGTGCAGGAGAGAACCGACAATGACTGGGAAGTAATGTTACCTATAGAGTTACTATGGGGCTTCCTCTCCTGCACAGTGAAGCCGCCGCTGACAGCTGGTCCCAAGACCGGACCGGAGTGGCTGCAGAACAGGTAGGTATAGTGATTTTTTTTGTTCTTTACAGGGCTAGATAGATTAGACTTAGAGTGTAGGTTTAGAGCTAGCTAGGATTTGCTTTTACTTGCACTTTAAAATTCCTATAGTGGGAAGTCATCTAAGATAACCAGGCTTAGAATTCATTCTAAGATATTGTGAGACAATAAAAAGGAAATATGAAATTCCCCATCAAAGGTAACTGGCTGCCTCAGCACTAAAAATAATTGATTGGGGAGGGGGCCGAAAGGGAGGTCATCAATGAATTTATCCTCAACAGGGTAATAATAACATTTTAGACATTAAGTATGCATTAGATTAATATTCAGTCAATCAATTATGTTTGTTAGCTGCTGTGCAAACCACTTAAAGGGTAGCCTTTAAATGTCAGTCTATAGATTTAAAGCAAACCATCAACACTTGCTCATCTTTCTTTTGTTCCCCTGCCACTCTTTTCAGATGCCTGGCATGATGAAAATACCCAGAATACATTAAAAGAGAAGTTTGGGATTCTGAGAAATAAACATTCATACTCACCTAGGTGACTGCAACATTGGTCCGAAAAGCCTATAGATTTAATGCAAACCACCGGCCTGGACTGGCTCTGTGAGTGAGCTGACAGCTGGCTCTAGCTGAAACCAGGTCACAGGAGTGCAGAATGAAATGCACTCCTGTGATCTATAGAAGAAGTAGAACCAAACGAGCTTTGGCCATACTTCTCCTTTAAAGTGCTTTCAGGTATGAAGGAGCATGTGACAGCACTCAGCCAATCACCAAGCAGCAGCATTGTCACATGGGGAAGTGTGTAAAGCCAAGTGTAAGCTCCTCTATAACTTGAGTAACTCCTAACTTACATAAGGCAACATTGCCTACTCCCTGCCAAGGAACAATGGAAAGGAGAGTATGTGTGTGTTTGGTATGTTGGGAGTGAAGGAGGGTAAAAGAAAAACTGTTGCTTTGTGGGGCAAAACATTTATATTGAGAGTAAACCTTTCTAGACAACATGATGAGGGAGTTCATGTATAATACATGTATTATTATCATACATTGCATTGACAAAAAGAATAACTTCGGAAAAGCAATCTTGAACTTCTCAGACTCTAAGGGGTTTATTTACTAAAGCTGGAGAGTGCAGATTCAGGCTCACTTCTGCATATGAACCAATCAGCTTCTAATCTCAGCTTGTACAATTAAGCTTTGGCAATAAAACCTGGAAGCTGATTGGTTTCTCTGCAGAAGTGAGTCTGATTTTGCACTCTCCATTTTAGTAAGCAAACCCCTGTGTGAGTCTTGAGTTCTCTTACAAGTCTTTATCGAACTGCTGTAGTAAATTGTCTATATGCAGTGGGAAAAGATCTTTGTGGGTGGCTTAAAGCCAAGTTCAGAGCAGATATTAAAAAAATGGTTATGGATTATTAAAAAAAATATTAAGTTAATAAAAAAAAAATGTCTTGTTGGTTTTGTGTTGTATTGAGACTAGGAGAGGGAAGAACACTGTAAATCAATCTTGTTTTGCTTTTTTGCTCAGTGCTGTCCAATTGTGAGTGTCCCGAGAGGAGGGAAGAGCAAAGTGAGGCTGAAGCTGGTTCTAGACCAGGCTGGATAATCTTTATTTAAACTGTGTAGTTTGCCTGGTGTTCAGATGTATCAGTCAGGGATTTAAGACTTAAGAAAAGTCTTCCAAAGTATATACAAATTATAATTGGGGAAAAAAGACAGAACTTTTTCATGTTTGACTCCCAGGATATATAATGGAAGTGTTCAGGGAAAGATCTTATCTGAATACACTTGAAAGGTAGCAAAGCACAAGTAGAACATTCCAATACATTGTCTAGTTTAACAATATTTTACTGAAAGTATCCCATTTTAAAATGAAAAGGGAAACTTATGTTCAAAGTTGTTTCTGCAGCTTGTTTGAATGAGAAGTGCTACCAACGCATATTGCAGCTGCTGTCTCAACTTTGATCTCCAGGGCAGGAGTCAAACTTTCAAAACAAAGGGCTAGTTTACTGCCCTTCAAACTTTAGGGGAGCCATACTGTAGCCAGTGGGAGTAGAAAATGGCCTAGCATCGATGCGAGTAAACAATAATACCATAGCTTTGGTGGTCAGTGGGAGAAAAAAAAAAAATACATCATTGCTGTCATTGGAAGGAATAGTGTCCCATCATTGGTGTCCCTATCATTGGTATCAGATGGAGAATTAGTTCCAGTCTCTGGTGTCAGTGAAAGAAAAGCACTCCATTGTGTTAGTGGGAGGAATAGTGCCCCGTCTGTGGTGTCAGTGGAAGTAATACTTTCACATATCAGTGGAGGGAATAGTGCCCCGCAGGCCAGATAAAGCCAAGCAAAGGGCCACAGTTTGGAGGCCCCTGCTGTAGGGTAAAGTTCTGATAATCATTGCAATGACCTTGGAAAGTTGGAGTGAGGAGAGTTGTAGTCACAGGATCAATTGCAGGACAAATATTACCGAAATGACTTTGATTGTATCAGGCATAAATCAAGTTCTTGAAAGTAAAACACACTTGTGTATCTAAAGCCCAACAATTTTTTTTTCTCTTTTCATTTTGGATAGGGTAAAGGATGGATAAAAACCCTGTCAGGTTTTTTTTTTTTATGCCACTCTGAGAGGGTAGACCCCCTGTTATGCAGTTTATTCCTGTTCTGGTGACAGCTGAAAATGTTGGATTTTCCCTAATTTTATATTTCACATATAGTGGTCAACAGGACAGATAGGGTAAATCTCCATAGTATGGAAATACAGTAAAAACCTGACAGTAAGTCTAAACTCTGCAATAAATTTGTTTGGCCTTTTATAATTATAGTCTTTATATTTGATTTACGGCAGGTGCTTTATGTGTAGGGGTTGTTTTTTAATGTTTAGGATGCAGTGAGAAATGTCCAGTTGTTGGAATCATTCCTGTCTTTGCTCTTTAATTTTTTCTGCATAATAAATGAAAGCAGTCGATTTTCATCTTGCAAAAATGAGGCACTTGTAAGCATATTGATTTGCATTTTATATTTGGTTGTTCTGCAATGTAGTCCCTGCTAAGTACATATTACATTATGTGAGGTGTGATATCTTCTCTATCTGATCTAAAAATTATACTTGTTGAAAAAAAAAAAATAGTAATGTTATACACAAAGATTTGTAAGCTGTTGATTTGTTTATGTGTATTGTTCTACTCCAGTTAAGCTGATCATCTCATGGGATGAGATCTCCAGACTGGAGAAGACCTCTACTGTTCTGCTCACAGAGAGTATCCATGTTTGCTCTCAGGGGGAGGACCATTATTTCTCTATGTTTTTGCACATTAATGAAACATTCCTCCTAATGGAACAACTGGCCAGCTATGCTATCAGAAGACTTTTTGATAAAGAAACATTTGAAAATGATCCAATACTCAATGATCCCCTGCAAATCACAAAAAGGTAATCATTATCATTAAATAAATTTGCATGGGACCTGTAACTTTTCAACTATCTTTGAGATCCTTATTGCTTCCTCCTACTGTTTTTTACTGTTGCATTGTTTGATCCTAGTCTTAGAATGAGAAAATTAGGGTTGCACCAATAGCGTTTTTTTTTTACAGCGAGTACACATACTGTACCAATACGTTCGGTAAAGTACTCGCAGATACTGAGTACCGATACCTTTTGTGGTGCAATTTGAGCCAATATAAAATGAATGGGCTCAAATCTCACTGCAAAGAATTGCATGCAATTTGAACAGGAATGCAGTGCGATTTAGAAAGACAGGGAAGCGCCATCTAAGAAGTGCAGCAATATTCAGACAGTTTATTAATGTTAGAACAACTCGCATATTAAAAGTACATAATATATCTTGCATGTCAAATCCAAAACCACGGCCGCTTGCAGTGCTTACAGGACTGGATGAGATGTATAGGCTGTCCACCCCTAAGTGGATATCACTTCTGCCCTATACCCACAGGAGTCCCAGGAACTTCCTACATTTTCTAAAGTTTATCTTTTAAAAATACTTTAAGCTGAGATGCTCAAAGAAGTTGCATCTCTGTCCCAGCAGAGGCAAATTGTGACAATTGTAAAGTCTAAAGAATCTCTTTAAAAGTTGAGTAAGTAAGGAAGTGGTACTGGGCATTCTCATTTTCCCAAAAATTTTAAAGTTGGTAACAACATAGTCAGATTAAAATCTTCTGTCTATACTAGGAAGTCATGGAAGGTGACCCCCTTGACAAAACACAATTTAGCTAAAAAGTATGCAGAGGCATCCTAGACCTCTTCAAAGGATTAGTGGCAACTTTGTTTTTGTTTGTCAATTCCTAAATGGTCCGAATTGCAGTTTAAGGAATACACATCCATGAGAGTGAGTTAATGACTTATACCTGAACTCTGCACAGTTAAGTTTCATTCACATTGCATAACTCAGTGTCTTAGATTGTAAGCTTCAAGGAGCAGGGTCCTCCTAACCCTCTTGTATTGAACTGTATTGTCTCCCGTTATATTGTAAAGCGCTGAGCAAACTGTTGGCGCTATATAAATCTTGTATAATAATAATAAAGCTACATTCCCAAAAAGTGGTCACATTAGCTAGTTCCCCTCTAGAGCAATTTTTCATTTGCATAAATGTAAAAATCTACATTTTGGGCTACGTAATTACTTAAAACTCTCAGAATATGATATGTTTTCTGAAAGCAGAGGCATTGTAGATATTTGTGCACCTGTTGATAAAACAGATTTTTAGGAAAAATATACTACAGTGAATTCTGTTGCAAATGCACACAATATAATACCTTTTTTTTTTAAGAAAACAAAAAGATGGGGTTACCTTGAGTAAATGGATACCAAACATGTCAAGTCTTAAAATTTCATGTGCCCATGATATTCCCCCCCCAAAAACCTATGGTACCCAAAATTCTCAATGGGTGACACTTTAACCCATTAATGCCTCATGTTCCATTATTGGAACAAAGTGACGTGAGAGTTATTTTTATCCTACTGCTCAAGGTCATCGCCAGGGTCTGATTTTTCACAATTTATGAAATTTCAACCTCAGGCATAAATGATCTAAAAGTTTTTAGAGCTCATCATTTTAGAGTTAACTTTGAATTATGGCCCTAGCATCCGAAATTTGTACCATTTTTTTTATTTTTTTGAGAAATATACTTTATTTTTTACATAAGCATAAAAAAAAAAACAAGATACTGAATCAGGGTACATTCCACCCTGTACTGCAAAGGAGCGCATAAATACACCACATAACAATACAGTTCCAATCATACAATAAGTACATTCACTCTGCGTTATGATGCCCAACGTGGTTACAGGCCCAAAGCTTTATTAAAAAGACAAAGACACACAAGGGAGAGTAGGGGGAAGGGGAGATCTTCAGACATCCTCTTCCTCAAAGTCCATCAAGTTATAGTCTCTGAGCAGACTGTGGACCAGTGCTCGACAGTCCTCAATGGACATCCTCTCCTGCTGGTGGATGAGGCGCTTCCTGGTGCACCATAAAGCATCCTTGAAACAACACAGTACCCGCCAGGCTCCGTCAATGTCCTCCAGGGTAAAAGTCCCACAGAAAAGTCCGTTCAACGCACCAAAGTGTGTGATGGCTGCCTGTGGCACAAAGTCCTTGAGTTCTGGTTCCAAGGCCCTCAACAGGTCCTGAGTGAAAGAACACTCCCAGATAACGTGCAGGGAAGTTTCCTCCTGGATGATGCAAAAAGGCAGTGCCTGTATCTGCTCAGGTTCCTGGCATGCATGAATTCCCTGAGTGGCAACCCCCCCTTGGATCGCCATGCATGCCAGGTCCTTGTGCCTGCTGGTGAGTCTCTTTAAAGAAACATTCCTTCAGACCACTTTGCAAGTGGCTGAAGGCAGGCCTGGAACTGACTCCAAAATGTCGTTTGCTATGATCAGCTTGTAGATAGTCTTTGGTTTCCACAAGTCGGGCTTGACTCCATGTAGCCCCTGCTCCCTAATAAACTTACAAGTGTCCAAGTAATACCAAGGAGTGTCCCAGTTGTAGGGGATGGGATCTGTTCCATTTGTCCCATCCGAGGGACCTTCAGAGGGACAAAAGGAAAAAAACGTGACATTTGTACTGATACCTCACTTGTGGTGCTATTGTGGTTTACTTATTCTGCAGATTGTAAAATCTTGTTGTATGTAAATATAGATGTTCCCAGGATAGTTAACATTAAGGGCGTGTCCGCTGGGCATAATAAAACACTCAAACACACCAACACAAAAAAACCCTCAGGTCTTTTGATTTGATTAGATTTTCTTTAACACCCTTCCTGGAGACAAGAAAAGATAACTGCATTAGAAGCTGAGATCTGTCATTTTACCATTGAAACTACTAAAGATTATTGAGAGTCATGATAAGTGGGCAAGTGATTCCTGCAACATCAGATTAGAGTAAAGCTGGCCATACATGGATTGTAATTCAAAAAGATCAGCAGGTACTGGCCGAATTTTGATACATGTATGGGCAAGGAGCGTTTTACAGAAGTCGATCTATCCAATCCTATTTTGTTCAACCGCCCTTTCCGATTTTTTTCCCCCCCATTTGATCAGTGCTGCAGGCTATAGTCTGCAATGATGATCAGTGTATTCTGATGGTGGGTAGTCTCCCCACTGTCCAAGTACAATAGTTCAGCAGGGAGGAATTGAATGTGTGGGAATCAGGTCCGTTTAAAAAAAAAAAAAACTGGCTCCTCTAAGGGCTGCCTTAATCTTCGAGTGATTTGATGCTAGCACTGTACTGAAACCAGGTGGACTGCACCTAAGTATTTTGTTTCACTTTTAAATCTTCTTATTTTATTGTTGCTTATGTCTGTTTTGTGATCTGGCTTCTGGAAATATTTCTTGCACTGTTTTTAAATTAAACATTGCTCACTTGGAACTGTAAGTCAGCAGATACATAATTTCTTTTTTCTTTTTTGTTCAACCAGCAGGTTGAAAAAAAAAAAAAAGAGCTAATTCCCCCATTGGTACATTTAATGTGGATGGAGGAACCCTTCCTACTGAGCTGTTGTATTGTTCCCTACCAGATAATTACAATGATCAGTGTTGCTGGCTATAACCAGCAGCACTGATCGTTTTGAGTTCTTAGACAGACAGACAGGCTTCTGTATAACGAACTAAGCCATGCATGGATTGAAATGTGTCCAGTCCCTGCTGAACCAGATGAATTTTGATCCATGTATGGCTGGCTTAAATGCTCTAACTAAAAACTGAGAACACTTTGAAGAAGCTACCGTAGTGTATACTTTGTATCATCAGCTGTCACAGCCAGTCAGGAATGTAACAAACATTTTAGAGGTCAGAATCGCAACAGTGAATGGTGTTAGCAGTGCTTGTTTTCATTAAAACATGGTAATGCTCATCATGTGTTTAAAGAGTTATAGCAGTATTAAACCCAAAGACAGAAATTTAATATATTGCAACTTAACAATTAGATGTGGTGGCTGTTTTTTTTTTTTTTTTTTTTTTTAAATTTGTTCCCCCTCTGTTTTCACCTGGTGATCAAGCCGGTAACATACCTGCTGTATTAGAGTACCCCCACTCTGGATGAATGTGTACAGTAGGCACCTTTGGATAACAGTATTGTTAGTTTGGGGGAAAGGGGAGTATTAAATGTACTAGCAGATTTAAATACACTAACATATCGAAGGTGAACTCCAGCTCACATTTTATAATCAGTTACTGCAAACAGTTTTTTTTTCCTTTTGGGGATAAAGGTTTTATATAAATAATAGCTGATCATTGAAAGCACCCCTGCTAGAGTCAAATGATTTGTCCCATCCCTGTAAACTGATACATCTGGAAGAGAGCATGTTCTTTTGAAAAACAACATACTTACTGGCCAGATCACCAGATGTAAACAGAAGAAAGAAAGCCTAAAAAAGAAAACAGATATCTAAAAATTGCCTAATTGCAATATAATGTTTGCTTTTGGATTTAATACCACAATAACTGTTTAGCTGTCCTACACCAGATCACTCAGTCCTCTGCTGCTTGGATTGTTGCCAAATGAGCTGTAACATTGTGAGAATGTGTCATATCACAGATACCTTTTATAGAGGGAGGAATGAAGTTAGAAAAACCTTTTATGTCTGCAAATCTGTTGTCTTACTAGGAAGGTGAGATATTGAAAGACAATCTTGTATGTCTACTAAAGAGTATCAGAAATCAGAAGGAATTCGTGTGTATCTATAGGAATGGAAAGCCTTATCTACCTACTAACCAGAATGATTTTGGTTCCCTACTAGAGGTCTGGAAAGCCGTGCACACAGTGAGCGTTTTACTACATACTTCAGACTGCCAAGAGAAGAGACATTAAAAGAGGTGCATGAATGTTTCTTATGGATACCCTTCAGCCACCTAAATACAGTGGGGAAGATGTGCATTTCTGAGAACTACATTTGCTTCGCTAGCCATGATGGCAGCCTTTATAGCACAATCATACCTTTACGAGAGGTAATATTAATTTGAAGACAATTTTCCCACAGTGATAAAATAAATGCTATAATGGTTAAAGCAGTCTGTTAAATTGTGTTCTTTTTGTCATTTATGTGCAGCTAATGTGTTTCCATTGGATTTGTATTTCTGCTTTCTTTTTTTTTCACTGAACTCAAGCCTTTTTAGGACAGCATGCAACCACATATCCTATGTTTGTGGTATTTTACTATTGATCTATAGGCTTCTAAATGCTGTCTTCAAGGAAGACTAATAAATGTCAACAAATCTGTAGTAATGCCTGACTGTTATTGACATTCAAGAGTTTAAAGCAAACATGTTGCAATCTTGGACAATGTAAAATGAACAATGTAAAATAATGTGAATAATAATGCATCAGCTGAGGTTATCTTCAGAGAAACCTGCTTGTTAAAAAGACCCGTGGATTCAGCAATAGAGGAACTTTTAGTTGTAAATCTCAGCTTTTCTGAAAGACTGCCCATCATAGTAAAGTACTTAATTGAGAGATTGGTAGGACTAGGTGTGGCTATTACAGGAAAAGCCAAAATATGCATACCTGTTCAGTTATCCATATGTGATATACTGATATTTTTTACATGGTTTTTGTCTGGCAGCATCTTCTCATTATGTTTTTATTGTCCAGGTTTGTGACTGGTTTACAAACGTATGCTTCTTATACAACCAATAGAACTGGTTTAGATTGAATCGAATCAGCTTGTGACTATATAAGGGGCATATTATTTATTTTATTACAAGTACTTGTATAGCACTGTTAAGTTACCCAGCTCTTTACATATATATATTGTACATTCACATCAGTCCTTAACTCTACAGGAGTGTAAACTCTAAGGTCCCTAACTCACATTCATACATACATATACTTGGGTCAGTTTAGATATAAATTGTGTTCTAAAGCTGGCATTATGCTATTTGATTTCTTTCATACAACGTGCTGGCGAAAGAAAAGAAATCAAATTGATTCCTCCATCCACACAAATGACATGGATGGATGAATCTCCTCTGCCAGGCTGTTGTATTCTGACAGGCACTGGCTGTCAAAATACCCTAAACCCAAACAGTCCCTACAGCTGCTGTTGTCAGTTCGGCTGACAATTTTTGGCCTGGCTCCTTTGTCAAAGGTCGATTGAGTAATTGACTTTTGCTGGGCCAGCAGGGCCATCCACAGTTAGAATTTCAACCAATTCCTCTGCATTGGTCAAAATTCTAACGTGGCCAGCTCTAGAGAGGATTTTCTTTATCTCTCCAATGAAAAACATAGAGAAAAAACTTTTCAGGGGTTTTAACCATTATCTTAAACGAAAAGGCTTTAGGTACATTTTAAATACTTTGCCAATGTGCTGTCTTGATGCATACCGTTGCTGTTTCTTGATTTTTAATGATTCTTACATTAAAGACTGAATTTATGTTTGCAGATTATTGGATTAGAAAAGTCTGATGTTATAACAAGGGCTATTACCATTAGCACAAAAAGGAAGAATATATTTCGTTTCACAGATGTTCGAGACTTTGAATCCTTGGTGGCAAGATTGAGGTCCAGATGTGCAATAACAAGTCCCCAGCACACAGCATATACTGAGGTAAGTCACACTAACTCTTGTTTTAAGAACTATTGCTGAAATGTTTTTTTACCTTTGGATTGCAATAAATAATGTATGAAGATGGTGTGTTGTAAAAATGTAGATGGTATCCAATAACCAAGAGGTGAAGTGGGAGCTGGTAAAACTATTTCTGATCTGGACACTTGTTCATGGTGGCAACTGTACAGAAGCTTTGCAAATGGTGCTCAGTTATACTTTTATCCTTATGGTATTGTCTTTTTAGCACTATTAATAACTGGGTTCCCATAGAAGATTTTGAAATCTTGTCCCAGTCATAAGTTCTTGCAAAAAAAATTTTTTCCTGGGTACTTAAAGAACAATTTCATCCAGCGAGTAAAAAAATGAGTTTCTAATGTTAGTTAGCTAATGCAGCAACCTTGCCAGAAAGTTCAGTTCACCAGCCACCTTACCTTCAAACTCCAAGGCAGGTTTGATTCTGATTTGTGGCTGTGAGGAACTTCTTAGAGCCTTATATTTCTTCAACTTCGCCAGCAGGTGTGTTCCAGGATCAGGCAAAAAAGATGGACTAGTTCAGTAAAGCAATGCCTGGAAAAAATGCACCGTTCCACATGTAGTTTTTTTTCTCCGTGTGCATTTCATGGCTGAATTTTAAGTCAACTGTAATTTTAAAGCCACCTTCTTTGAGAGGACAATGTACATTGTAATACTGAATGTACTTTTGTAGCATGTAGAACTGCTTGAACTGTGACTCCATGACATACGTTATGTTATACTTTGATTGTTTCAATATAAGTATATAGACTGTGTCATTTTTCAGATTAGCTACAGTTATAATGCAGAGTTCCCAGAAGAGCATCCTATGGTGGGTCCAAAAGGCACCAGCAAGACTGTGAGCACAGAAGCCTTAATGACCGTGTTTCATCCTCAGGATGCAGAGAACCTTGATCCAATAATGGTATGGAAACATTTACATAACCAGTTTTTTGTTGTGAATACAAGTCACCAATATTGTACAACTTTTCTTGTGATCCTTTGGCCACTTCTTCACAGAAAATTAGTGGTATGGGATGTAGTATGAGCATAGTGTCTGTAGCATGACCACTGTAACACAACTTTGTAGTTATGGATGACAGAACTAGTTCTACTATAAATACCCTTTTTATAAAGGATGTTTGACTTTCCACTTGCAGCATAAAAATGGTTCATAGTCTGAGATGTATTATCTTTTAAAAACTGGCCAGTATAAAATGTGTACCTCCAGAGTTTCCATTTATTTCTTTACATGCTTGGTCAGCTACGTGTCTTTCTTTTGGGAATTATAGAAAATATTTTCTTATTACAATATTAAAATAGATTGTAGACCCTGTACTCAAAATCAATATGTTAATGCAAAAAAATTGCAGTTTGGAATTCTTTGTCTTTCTTAGTGATATAAATGCTGCTCAGAAGCTGCATCAGAAATAATATATGTAATTTTATTTTTTTTTTCGCAGCTGAAAGAAAAAATGAAGGAGCAGTATTGGAATATTCTGTTCACCGAATGTGGTCGTGGCATTAGCATGTTTCGTACAAAGAGAACTAGAAATTTAGTTGTTAAGGGAATTCCCGAAACTTTGAAAGGAGAACTTTGGTTACTTTTCTCAGGTAGCGATTACTTTTAATTGTCAATGTAATGTGTTAGCAGTGAAGAACTATATGTTATTTTGTTAATACTGCTTGATTTTTGCTGAAAATGGTGAAAGCGCAATTAACTTGCAATTGCATATTGTGCTAATGGCCATTAATACATGCACATAGATGCAAAAGGGCCCTACTTTACTACCTGTAGGTTAATGGAATAAGTGACATGCAATCCTTACACTTTTTGCTTGCATACTTGGTGAGCATATGAAGACATGAGCTGCTGGAGACAATGATTTGATTAGAACAAGTGAATAAATATTAGTTAACTATATATTTAGATCTAAAGCTGGCCATACAACATTCTGTTTTGTTCTCATTCAACATTATTTACCAGCAACAATGTAGCGAGAGCATCCAATACCAGAATGGTGTTTGAATTTCTTGCAGGCCCTCCCTACAAAGTTGTTGGTAAAGTTTAGTAGCGTCAGTGTTACCTCAACATTTCATATTCCTGATATATGTCTGTTACCATGTACTTGTGTTTTAAATTATCCAGTGAAGGCTGAGTTCTGCGGTCACTTTTTCAGGAGTTGTTTACTTATTCCGGGTCACAATCCTGAGCAATGTCCTTTTTTTTTTTTTTTTAAATTCTTTAAAGTTTTTAGGAAAATGCAAAATACAGTATACGTATAGTACAAGTATAAAAAGGAAAACAAACTCTCAGGCTACTTTGGAACATAGCTGTAGAGTTCAGGGAAATGTATTGGGGTGTGTCAAACTATTGGTAGAGGGATCCCAACTGCCGAAAGAGCAGGGACACCTTTTCCACCAACAGGGTTAGCCTTCCACTTATATATAGTGCAATAATTCTGGGCATCTGGTGTAGGGAGAAGAAAAAGAAGAACAAGTGGAGAAAGAGTAGGGGAGGGGGAAACAAGGGGGTGGGGAAAAGTGCAAGCAGGGGCCTGACCCTAAGGGTTCCATACAATGGCCCTTGCAAGCAGAATTGGCGTCCCAGCGCCATATAGACATCAAGAGCCAGGGCCATATGCTGGCCATATTCAGGTGGCGAGGTCTGCACTATAACTCACAGAGAAAGTATAATCGGCCCAGTAGAACAATGTTTTGCGAAACTTCTTTCTGTGATTTGCAGAGGCAGGCATATCTTTCATTCTGTAAGTTTCCCCAATGTTGTGTAACCAAACACTTACCAGGGGAGCAATAGGTTGCTTCCAGAAAAGTGGGTTGCAGGTCTTGGCAGCATTAAGTAACTGAATCATCAGTGACCATTTGGAACATTTGGATGACATAAGAGTTAAGTGAAGCAGATTGGCTGCCATATCATTCCCGTATTGAACGTCAGTGAGTTTGAATGTTAGGTTACAAACCTTTTCCCGGAAGGGTCTTAGAACTGGGCAACTCCAGAACATATGAAGGTATGTACCTTCATGCTGGTAGCAGCACCAGCATAGGGAGGGTGTGCTCAGAAACATTTTGTGTAGAATCAAAGGGGCCCTATACCAACGTGTTAAAATTTTAAAAAGCCAGTTTGTTGGATGGAGTTGAAAAGAGATGCAGTGTGAGAAAAACGCATCATGCGTGTTTTTCGTTTTTCAGAAAAGCTGATGTCCAAGTCAGACTCCCATATCTCAATATAGGGTAGGTCTACATGGTCAGGTGGGTGAGAAAGTAGTTTATAGGATAAGGATAGGCCATGTTGAATCGGGAAGGATGCTGCGCATAGCATTTCAAACTCAGTTAAAGGAGGAAGTGAAAGTGTCCGTTTTCCCAAGCTGTGCAAAAATTGTCTTAGTTGGAACTGCATAGGCAGGTCCATCATTTGTTGGAGTTCTGACAAAGATTTACAGCCCGTAAAAGTATGAAGGAATGCAACAAGACGAAACTTGCCGAAGCAGTGGTCAAAATTGGCAATTCATAATCACTGGAAGGATTCGAGCGTGGTCTATGACAAGTGGAATGCGCGATGACAAATGTCCTGAGAAGACAGCTTCTTGTTCGACTACTAGGAGTCTGGCCATATATCCAAGGGTGTGATTTAATGGAGGAGGGAAGGTCTGCCTTGAGCCACGGAATTCCACTGAGCGGAATGTCTATGGATGGCTGTTCTAATTGGATCCAGTGTTTGACATCCTGGCTGGTAAACCAGTCCAAAATATGTGCGAGATGCACTGCCCTGTGGTATTTTAGAGGGTTCGGGAAACCTAAGGTGCAGCGGTGTTTAGGATAGGACAGGAACGTGTGAGATAACCTATGAGATTTGTGGGCCCATAGGACAGTGGAGAAAGCCTCTCCTGTACACTTGAGGAATGACTTAGGGATTCTAATTGTGATGGTCTGCAATAGGTATAGCAGCCTTGAGAGAATATTCATCTTTAGGACACTGTTCCTCTGGAGCCATGAAAGGCATTTTATGGACCACTGGGTCTGTCGTAACATAGTCAGAAGTGGTGAAAAGTTGGCAGGAATGAGCCCCCGTAAGTGAGGCAGTTAGGTGGATCCCTAGATATCAGATATGTTGCTGGGCTCATTTAAACACAAAATGAGACATCAGGGCATCTATAGTGGCCTGTAGGACGCTCAATAACCTTTTTTCTCTTTCGGTCAGTTGACCACGCTTATGCTTATTAGATGACATTTTCCCAGAACTGCATATGCCATCAGACATGACTCTGTATTACTAGAAGTGTGCACAGTTATGAAAGTGAGGCTTCCCACCTGTTAGCTAGGTGTCTCATCACACACACAGCAAAAGAATGTTACATCACTTCCTTTTTCAACACAAAACATGTTGTCACTTTCACACTTGCAAATCATGTAGTGTTTCCATTTTTTGTCCAACCCCTGTAAATATGAGAGCTAATTGGAAATAAATATTTGTTTTTCAAGATTTCAATCAGAGAATGCACCTGAAATTATATATTTTAGTAATGTAACAAGCCGTCTATCAGCATTGATAGGTGGTGATGCATAGATTCTCAGTTTTAATTCTACCTGTTAGATAGCTGTTTCTATCTTGTGCACTGAAAGGGTATACTGTAAAGATCCTATAATATAACTCTCTATTATTATTATTATTACTTATTGGCAGGTGCAGTTAATGACATGGCAGCTAATCCAGGCTACTACTCAGAAATTGTGGAAAAGTCTCTCGGCACATGCACTTTGGCAACTGATGAAATTGAGCGAGATTTGCGCAGATCCCTGCCAGAACACCCAGCATTTCAAAGTGACACTGGCATCTCTGCATTGAGAAGAGTGCTGACGGCATATGCATACAGAAACCCCAAAATTGGATATTGTCAGGTTAGCTCCTTTCCTCATATATCTTCTAGAGTTGTGTAAAAGGGACATGTTTGCAGCAGTATGTTTTTTTTTTTTTTTTTTTCTTCTTCAAGGCTAAAGAGATTTTATTACCACATGTCATATCAGACCATTTGTTAGTGTGCTAATTCTGTTTAAACAGGATATGGTGTATGTCTGCCAACAAGTACTAAAGTCTCCGATTTAAGGTGTGTTGTATCTTATGAATTGTTTATGAAGTGGAGGTAGGAGGTGCAGAAACCTGGCATGTGCTGGTATTTTTTTTTCCAGGGCAGACACACAGCAGACACACAAGTTTGGCTGAACTGCTCTTTTAAATTAAATAGCTAACCATTTTTTAATGTTCAACAATTCCTGGCTGAATTATGCCTGGAGTCATTTAGCCCATTTCCAGTGAGCTCAGAGAGTCCAGAGCCCACTCTGGGCTTATAGGAGAATGTTGCAGAGAACAGCACCATGTCATTGCTTGGCACTCATTTCTTCAGTATTTATGATCTGGCCACTGCAGAAGCAAGAAAAGGGTGAAGAGGACCTGTGATATCGCCAGGCACTCTAGAAAAACTACATTTTTTATAAGGATACAGGTTCTCTAAAGGGGACAGGAAGCTAAAAAAGACAACATATGCAGTTACTTATACTTCTTTTATGTAAAAATACTTTTGTATAAGTTTAGGTATATGTTTGAATTAAATGTTTTCTTTCTTTTTTTAGTACGTAACTAATTAATCTTTAAAGCATCATAAAGCTTAACCCACCATGGAAAAGTCCAGACATGCCATGTTTTTTTTTGCTGCTTAGTTGTTGTAGTTGCTCAATTACTACCATTTTATTTAGTTTTGGTAATTTAGCTTGGTAAACAAACAAGCTAAAAGGCAGCACTAAATATCCAAAGCATAAAAAGAAATCCTAAAAATCAATAATGTGTCATAATAAAACTGTGCATCTACTGTAACACGTGCAAACATGTCCAATATTCCAATATACATAGAGTGCATCAACATGCAATAAACAAAACAAACATGCCAATATAGCTCCAAATAGGAAGAAAGTGAGAATGTATGACAAAGTTCAGGTTGTGTGGTTGCATAAGTTACAAAGTGAAAGAAAAGTTCACAACTTCCATGAAGATATTGATCCAAAATAAAATATCCCAAGCAATCCTCTTTACCTTTGTGAAATGATCCAAAATGCCCCAGTGGAAGGACTCTTACCCCAGCACCTTGATCTCCGATTACAGAGCAGTCATGATATCATGAGCATGGTTGAATCAGCCATCCAGTGCACCACCTCAGCACTTCAGATGTTAAATCTCCAACTCTCAGTGATAGCAGCCATATATAGGTAAAGAAAACATGCCTGCAATTGTGTAAATCCTCCAAAACACTTTATCAATAGAAGCTATTAAAACCACTCATTTAAACGGCATTTCCAAGTTCTTCATAAAAGTATAAACAAGCTGCGGTTCTGATCGGCAAAGCCAACATGCGCAATGATTTTACCACTTCTTGGCCCCGCCTTAGCACTTCGTCAGCAATCACACATGTCGGCTTTGCCAGTCAGAACTGCAGCTGGTTTGCATTTCCAATGATGACATCTATCTAAATATCTAAGAGTGTGCAACCACAGACATGGTTGTTTTTATATTTTGTTGCTCTGTATGTGTGATATTGCACATGCACTACACTTAATGCACGTTGTTTTTTTTTTACACGTTATTGATTTGTAGGATTTATTTTCATGCTTTAGAGATTTAGCGCTGCCTCTTAGCTTGTTTGTTTGACATTTATGTTGTTTATCAAAACATATGGCATGCTGCTCTGTCTCTTAAATGCTTCTCAGTTGTGAGCGCAAGCTTCTTTTTTTTTCTATTTTTGAATTCAGTTTGATAGTTCAGAACAGTATCCAGAGATATCAGTCACCTCTATTAATTTCCTGTGATGATTGCTCACATGTTTAGATTACGTTACATCCCCAACAGATTGAGTTATGTTTTCCTTCAGCTGATGTTTATCAGCTGGATTGTCAAGACAGTTGGCTGTAAATGTAAAACATGGTTATTTTGTCTTTTGCTTGTGCTTTCCCAGGCAATGAATATCCTCACTTCTGTCCTACTTCTGTATGCCAAAGAGGAGGAGGCATTTTGGCTGCTAGTGGCTGTGTGTGAGCGAATGCTGCCGGATTACTTCAACAGGAGAATTATAGGTGAGCTTTGTCTGTGTGTGCTCTATGTGAGTAGATTATTTTTTGTCTGGTGCAAAGTTTGGAAAGTGTTGCTGAAAATGTTTTATATAATCACATAGAAGTAATTGTTCTCTGTAGACTTTAAGAAGTATCACTACAACCATGACAATGCTCATCATTCTGTACAGTAGAGCAAGAGGAGCCTTTCAGCAGGAAGCTCCTGTGTATGTTTTCATAGGGGAACATATAAACAGGACTTCAGACAGCATCCAGGACAATCTACCAGTACCTTGAGTCTGCAACCACCTACACTACCCCATAGTTAGACCTTCTACTGGACCAACAGCCTTTCTCAGCCTTTTATCCCAGAGAAACCCCTGAAATCATTTTCAAGTCTCAGAGAACCCTTAACAAATCCATTTAATTGGGATTCAAATATAAAAATGCCACTTACACTGGTTATCACAAGAAATGCAATGCGTACAGTGGTGATAAGAATGCCACCTTTAAAAAGAGCTAAAAAAAATCATTACAGTCACACGTATGGTTTTGTCTAGTGGTGTTGGCCCTAGAACTATGCAGGGATCATCAAATAGGAGGTCGATAAGCTGCAACTTCTGGAGGAACCCCAGGATTCCACAGAACCTTGGTTAAGAATGGCTGCATTAGAAGATAGCAAGCTGCAGTACACATGCTACATCAAGTGCTATATATCTCATTTAAAGTGATACTAAACATAGATGGTTTAATATGCATTATCCCTTCTATTTACATATATGGATGATGCCACTGTATTCATTAAAGAAAAAAAAAACATCTAAGTACCTTTTCCCATAGCCAATATACAGCAGTCGTGTGACTTTCCCCAGCTCTTTCTGTTCTTCAGGCAGTCATCGGTGGGAGGAACTTTTATTGAATTAATAAAGTTACACTGTAATGATATCTAGGGGAAGGTTCTTACCATCACAATCTGTTCACACCCCTCCAGCTTGTGTCTGTGTTTATGTACTTATATTACAGGGAGGTGAAGACTCCATCAGTCAAGATGTAAACTCCCACCCCCCTCAGAGTAGATCTGTTTAGCGGGCATAGAGGAGGAGGGATGGAGGCAGTGGGCTGACATTTAACCCTGTGTATACGCCCACATGTGTTACTGTGTAGTCTCATGGGTTGCTCAGGGAAGAAATGCTCGGCATAGAAACGAAAAACTAAGCATGCTCACTAGCGGTTGCAATGCTACTCTCTCCAGCTGCAGCAGGGACTTAGATCAGAGGGAGAGACAGAGAATGACAGGATAAATCAGGTTTATTGTAGAATACACAAGACAAATCCTATAGTGGCTAAGTGAGTATGATCAGCATTCAATACTGATGTGGGTTTAATGTCATTTTAACAGATATTATCCCAGCCCTGAACAGCATAATGCTGACATAGTGGCATTTCATATGTAACATGTCATGCCCTTGCACCCCATGTCTTCCCTGGAGCACCCACCTTCTATTTTTTTTTCATGGCTGTGCTGAAAGAAGCATAGAGATGGGGAGCTTGGTGTAGATAGGCTTAGGTAAGAAAGGAGAGGAGGAATTGGGTGGGCAAAGGCATAATGAAGGCGCGGGTCTTTATTTTTTCAGCAGTGCTGAGGTTAGCCCTGCCCGACTGCAGGGCAGCAGTGAGGCGACCAGTCTCCTAGTATACAGAGAGCAGCTTGGATGACTGGTTGCCTAAACAGTCACATCCTAGAACCCTGCTAATGCAGATTTATTAAAGGCACTTTAAATAATGCTTCAGACTAGAACGGATAAGAGGAAGATTCTGAATAAGGTAATCTTATTGCTTGACTTCCATTTGCTCGGAAAGCAGAATAATTTGCCGAAAAGTATGGGGTGCCATTGCTGATCTTGTTCTGAAAATTGCCTGGCATTTTGGGCTGATCCTATGACCCTACTGAGTTTGCTGAATCAGAGCAAAGCCTAACTCACTTTTTTGCAGTTTTTATTGTTTATCAGAGACTTAGTACTATACTGAAGCTTTTAGATGATTATTCCAGCTAGACAACTAGAACATTACATTTTCAGTTGAAGAATGCATCAGTGGCAGCCTCCAAATTTCCATCCGCACAGTTTTTTTTGTTTTTGTTTTTTATAATGAAGGCCTTATACCTATTAAATTGTCATTCAAGTATTGAATGTACCTCATGATTATACTAACCCTGTCTCCTGCCTCATTAATCAGTGTAACAGCATGTTATCACTCACAAATGTAATTATGTACTTGGTTTGTGCAGCTGCCACGAATTAGGATCTTACCATTTCTTTACATGGCAGTTAGCTGCAGTAAACCTGTTAGTTTAAAAAAAAAAAAAAAACCCAAAACTTTCCTACAGTACATACAGTAGACTCGTCACTTTAAAACTAAAAAAAAACAAAAAAAAACAAAAACACACACTGAAAAGACATTTTGTTTTGTTCTAGATGTTGGCCAAACATGACCCCGTTCACACTTGAGCGTTTGAGATCTCGGGCAGAATCACCACAATTCTGCCCGCAATCCCAAAACTCTCTGCACAAATGACAAATTCCACCACTCCTGATCGAGTGCCATTAATTTTCGATGGCCCCAAAGCACGGTGCTGTTCTGCTGTGATTGTAGCATGATAAATCGTGGCAAAGGTTGCCCAATAGAAACTCCTGACAAGCTATGCATGATGCAGTTTGCCATGGTTGCAGCACAGTTTATCATGGAAGAACTGAACCGCGTTTTGGTGCCATTTAAAATGAATGGCACTCGGACAGGCGTGGTGTGATTTGTCATTTGTGCAGTGCGTTTTGTGATTCTGCCCAAGATCGAAAACGCTCAAGTGTGAATGGAGCATAAGACCTGGCTTGTATTGCGAGTGCCTATTTTTACAGAAGTTGGGAGTATTTTGATGCTGTTCAAAGAAAAAGGATCAGGGCGGAGGGTGCCTTTCTGTGTGATGTTCACTCAGTCCAATGAGAAGGCAGAAATAGGGGCAACTGCAACAGAAGGATTCAGTATATGTGAAGTACTTTACAAATCTTTATCAGGTAAATAGACTGCATATACTGTATTTGTGAACTCTTTATTCAATATTTTAGAGTCACAACTTAGGCTGCCAAGCACCTAAACCTATGGTATTTTTTTTTTTCAGGGTAATGTAATAGTTTAGTTGACGCTTGCCTTGTAAAAACGTCATATACAGTCAGGTCCATAAATATTGGGACATCGACACAATTCTAACATTTTTGGCTCTATACACCACCACAATGGATTTGAAATGAAACGAACAAGATGTGCTTTAACTGCAGACTGTCAGCTTTAATTTGAGGGTATTTACATCCAAATCAGGTGAACGGTGTAGGAATTACAACAGTTTGCATATGTGCCTCCCACTTGTTAAGGGACCAAAAGTAATGGGACAATTGGCTTCTCAGCTGTTCCATGGCCAGGTATGTGTTATTCCCTCATTATCCCCATTACAATGAGCAGATAAAAGGTCCAAAGTTCATTTCTAGTGTGCTATTTGCATTTGGAATCTGTTGCTGTCAACTCTCAAGATGAGATCCAAAGAGCTGTCACTATCTGTGAAGCAAGCCATCATTAGGCTGAAAAAACAAAACAAACCCATCAGAGAGATAGCAAAAACATTAGGCGTGGCCAAAACAACTGTTTGGAACATTCTTAAAAAGAAGGAACGCACCGGTGAGCTCAGCAACACCAAAAGACCCGAAAGACCACGGAAAACAACTGTGGTGGATGACCGAAGAATTCTTTCCCTGATGAAGAAAACACCCTTCACAACAATTGGCCAGATCAAGAACATTCTCCAGGAGGTAGGTGTATGTGTGTCAAAGTCAACAATCAAGAGAAGACTTCACCAGAATGAATACAGAGGGTTCACCACAAGATGTAAACCATTGGTGAGCCTCAAAAACAGGAAGGCCAGATTAGAGTTTGCCAAACAACATCTAAAAAAGCCTTCACAGTTCTGGAACAACATCCTATGGACAGATGAGACCAAGATCAACTTGTACCAGAGTGATGGGAAGAGAAGAGTATGGAGAAGGAAAGGAACTGCTCATGATCCTAAGCATACCACCTCATCAGTGAAGAGTGGTGGTAGTGTCATGGCGTGGGCATGTATGGCTGCCAATGGAACTGGTTCTCTTGTATTTATTGATGATGTGACTGCTGACAAAAGCAGCAGGATGAATTCTGAAGTGTTTCAGGCAATATTATCTGCTCATATTCAGCCAAATGCTTCAGAACTCATTGGGCGCCGCTTCACAGTGCAGATGGACAGTGACCCAAAGCATACTGCAAAAGCAACCAAAGAGTTTTTTAAGGGAAAGAAGTGGAATGTTATGCAATGGCCAAGTCAATCAACTGACCTGAATCCGATTGAGCATGCATTTCACTTGCTGAAGACAAAACTGAAGGGAAAATGCCCCAAGAACAAGCAGGAACTGAAGACAGTTGCAGTAGAGGCCTGGCAGAGCTTCACCAGGGATGAAACCCAGCGTCTGGTGATGTCTATGCGTTCCAGACTTCAGGCTGTAATTGACTGCAAAGGATTTGCAACCAAGTATTAAAAAGTGAAAGTTTGATTTATGATTATTATTCTATCCCATTACTTTTGGTCCCTTAACAAGTGGGAGGCACATATGCAAACTGTTGTAATTCCTACACCGTTCACCTGATTTGGATGTAAATACCCTCAAATTAAAGCTGACAGTCTGCAGTTAAAGCACATCTTGTTCGTTTCATTTCAAATCCATTGTGGTGGTGTATGGAGCCAAAAATTTTAGAATTGTGTCGATGTCCCAATATTTATGGACCTGACTGTATGAACCATACAGTACAGGACACAGGCTGGATTATTACAGCCCTTGGGTTATAGGCTGCTACTTTCAGCTGACTGGACACGGACTCCCGGGGATACCCTTATAACCCTATATACTCTGAGACCTCACCTTTTCCCAGCATCTCTAGATGATGGACCTCTTCTCTCTTATGGAAAATTTTCTATGCTTTACTATTTTTTATTTACCTTGAATTCTTCTGTCATCTCTTCACTCAACACTTTGCTGCCTTCTATGCTATCAGTAGCAGCCACGCATCCAGTTGGGCATAATACCTTGGAAGCCAGACCTAGGCCCCACACTGTGGAGAATGCAACAAGTGTAGTTTCCCTAAGGGTGCTTATAGAGGTCCAGGTCTGTGGTCAATTCCTATTGTTGCCAGACCCTGAAAACCCCTCTGGGCTGTGTCCACTATGACGGGTGAAGCCCTGGACACATACAAGGACCAGCGATATTGAAAAGTTAGACAGGTTCATCCTGTTACTGGACCATTGCTGTAGCCTTATAGCAAGTATGAGATCTAAAGTGTTACTAAACCCAGGACCCTGAATTCACTATATATGGTCTCCCACAGTACACTGAACATGGAAATGCAACTACAGGTGAAACTCGAAAAATTAGAATATCGTGCAAATGTTCATTTTTTCAGTAATGTTACTTAAAAGGTGAAACTAATATATGAGATAGACTCATTACATGCAAAGCAAGATAGTTCAAGCCGTGATTTGTCATAATTGTGATGATTTTGGCTTACAGCTCATGAAAACCCCAAATCCACAATCTCAGAAAATTAGAATATTGTGAAAAGGTGCAATATTCTAGGCTCAAAGTGTCCCACTCTAATCAGCTAATTAAGCCATAACACCTGCAAAGGGGTCCTGAGCCTTTAAATGGTCTCTCAGTCTGGTTCAGTAGGAATCACAATCATGGGAAAGACTGCTGACTTGACAGTTGTGCAGAAAACCATCATTGACACCCTCCATAAGGAGGGAAAGCCTCAAAAGGTAATTGCAAAAGAATTGGATGTTCCCAAAGTGCTGTATCAAAGCACATTAATAGAAAGTTATGTGGAAGGGAAAAGTGTGGAAGAAAAAGGTTCACAAGCAGCAAGGATGACCGCAGCCTGGAGAGGATTGTCAGGAAAAGGCAATTCAAAAGTGTTGGGGACTTTCACAAGGAGCGGACTGAGGCTGGACATGGGCTTCAAATGTCGTATTCCTCTTAACAAGCCGCTCCTGAACAACAAACAACTTCAGAAGCGTCTTACCTGGGCTAAAGAAAAACAGACCTGGTCTGTTGCTCAGTGGTCCAAAGTCCTCTTTTCTGATGAGAGCAACTTTTGCATCTCATTTGGAAACCAAGGACCCAGAGTATGGAGGAAGAATGGAGAGGCACACACTGCAAGATGCTTGAAGTCAGTGTGAAGTTTCCACAGTCTGTGTTGATTTGGGGAGCCATGCCATCTGCTGGTGTTGGTCCACTGTGCTTCATTAAGTCCAGGGTCAACGCAGCCATCTACCAGGAGATTTTGGAGCACTTCATGCTTCCTTCCGCAGATGAGCTTTATGGGATGCTGACTTCATTTTCCAGCAGGACTTGGCACCTGCCCACACTGCTAAAAGCACCAAAACCTGGTTCAATGACCGTAGGATTACTGTGCTTGATTGGCCAGCAAACTCGCCTGACCTGAACCCCATAGAGAATCTATGGGGCATTGCCAAGAGAAAGATGAGAGACATGAGACTGAACAATGCAGAAGAGCTGAAGGCCGCTATTGAAGCATCCTGGTCTTCCATAACACCTCAGCAGTGCCACAGGCTGATAGCTTCCATGCCACGCCGCATTGAGGCAGTAATTGCTGCAAAAGGGGCCCAAACCAAGTACTGAGTACATATGCATGCTTATACTTTTCAGAGGTCCGATATTGTTCTATGTACAATCCTTGTTTTATTGATTGCATGTAATATTCTAATTTTCTGAGATTGTGGATTTGGGGTTTTCATGAGCTGTAAGCCATAATCATCACAATTATGACAAATCATGGCTTGAACTATCTTGCTTTGCATGTAATGAGTCTATCTCATATATTAGTTTCACCTTTTAAGTAGCATTACTGAAATAAATTAACTTTTGCGCGATATTCTAATTTTTCGAGTTTCACCTGTATTTTAATAAATATAAACTGCTAAATACCTTTTCTCATCAGCAGTTAGAGCAGTCTTGTGACTTCAGCAGAGCACTGGTTAAAGCTTGTAGGAGAAGTTTTCATTCTCCTCTATGAGGCTGTAGGACCCCTGACCCTGTGTCTGGATAGTGCTGATTGATCCTGTGTTGATCATGTGCGCTCTCCCAAGAAAGAAAAAACTCTCTAGCAATACACACCAGAGTGAAGCATGTGCAGCTTGCCCCCAAGGCTCTGTTCTATCAGGAGATATATTGGGGACAGTAGAAAAAGGGGAGGATCAGAGAAGACAGGATCAAACATTCTTTTTACACAATGCGGAGGATCAGCCCGTAGGTTTCACAGTGAGTGTAACAAGCATGCTTTACTGCATATGCAGACTGATTTTACTGTTGTGGGCTTAGTAACACTTTAATATCTCCACTACCTTCAGTATACTTATTAAATGTATCCTGAAAAGTATTTGATTTAATGTGGAAACTGAGGATGTAATTGCCTTTATTTACTTATTGATTTTTTCAACTTTCAAAATTGGAGGGAAAAATTCCACCATTCAGAACTTAGTCTCATGTGGGTGAACTAGGTGTTACATCACACCACAGGTCGCAACATTACCATTACTTCTGCATAAGTACATTATAAGGTACTCAGGCACTTTCTCCCGTTTTTTTGCAATGAGGTCTTTGCTACAGGATGGTCAGCACCTGTGAATCCTTCTACGGGCATGCTTACCCTATTTTCGAACACTACTTCATGAGTACCCCACAGGGGAATTCCCTCACTGACGGCAATAACAGAAACTAGACGCAAGGAAATAAAAAAAAAAAAACAAAGGACCATTACTCGCTGTCCTGATGGGTTGCAAAGCAAACATTCAGACTGGTTGGAGTGATGATGCTTCCATTGCATCAGAGTAGGACCCTATCCTAACACTGGCCTCTGAATCTGATTCTACCTCTATCTCACACATGCAACAAGCAGCCTACCTGACCATGCAGAACTTGATGCAACTAAATCAGAATTTCTCAGACGGCTAACAGTTTTACTACAGCCATCCTTGGCCAAAGCTACCTCTGATGAAGTCACATGGTGTGTGACGATACGCATGAGGAGAAGTCAGGTGACGTCAGCGCTCCTACATCGTTCCGACAGGCAGGGTCTTGCTCTCCATTGTTTGATTCTGACCACTGTTTCATGCGTTTTTTACATTATTATCATGTGAGCTCATATGCTTTAATAAATCTATGCCTTCTAAAGAAGCCTACTGCACTATGGTCTACTTTGTGGTTGTTGAGCTTTGTCCACAGAGTTGGCTGTATTGAAATTGGGTGCCATTTGTGAAGGTCCATTGCTGATTCATAAGGGTAAGTTTGCACAGAGGAGCAAGTTATGTGTTACCCCCACTAATAGGGGAGCTGCTTTGTTCGACCTATCTCCACATACAGGTCCATACGAGAAGGTGAGAGTCCACCTGGAAGTCTATGTTCACTGTGGTGATTTACATGTATTGAAGATTTACAGCGCGCAATTTTCTTTTGCCTTTATGTTTCGGAGTTAGAGACTCTTAAGAAGCCCTTCCTAATTCTTCATAAGGATAAAGTAGCCTTACTTACAAGACTGTCCGTTCTACTTAAGATGGTATCAGCTCTCCACATCAATGAAGACATTGTCCTTCCTTCTTTGTGCCTTGCTCTTAAGCATCCCAAAGTAATTGCTCTACATTATCTGGATGTGGTTAGAGCTATCAGAATCTATCTAAAAGCCACAGCCTATAGCCAAAAAGCAAGAAACTCTTTTTGTCTTGCCAACAGGATTTTGAAAGAGACAATCTGCTTCGAATGTACTTTTGCAAGTTAGATAAGACAGCTCATCATACGAGCTTACACTTTAAAAGAAAAGGTACCTCCAGTATTTTTATGTGCTCACTACAGCAAATAATGGGAGTCTCCTGAGTATTCTGACATCAGGTGTCGGTTAAGCAGCTTTGTAAGACCATCACCTGGTCTTCAGTTCATACTATCTCCACATGTCCAGGTCTCTGCAGAGGCAGGTTTCTTTAGTGGCACTCTTGGCTTGGTCATCGACGCCTACTTTTTTGAGCCGCTGGCACAGTTTCATCCAACTTGTTGTTGCTCATCCCTGTGATTCATTGCTTGGGGATGTCTCAGGTTCTGATAACTGCCAGCCTTTGTCCTGTTCTGTATGCTGAATATAAAAGGAATTTTGGCCTGCCTATAAATTCCATATGTTGGAGTACAGTTCAGGACACAGGCCTTTTGTTACTGTTTTTACTCTGCATTGCTTACTAAAATACTGAGGTCTCACAGAGTGGAGTAAAGTTATAAGGGTATGTCCGGGGGGGGCATGTTCAAAAGCTTTGCCAGTTTCCAATCACCTGTAGGTAGCAGCCTATAACCCATGGTCTATAAATATCTAGCCTATGTCCTGTACTGTACTCCAAGATATGGAATTTACAGGAAACTCAATATTCCTTTATTCCTTTTCATGGCTAACATAACCTGTAAAAATTTGTGGGGACTGATGCTTACATGCCTGTGTAGCATCAGTCCCACGTATTCTCAAAGGTTACATTACATGCTATACAATGTACCATGTGCCTTTTTGGTGTTATATTGTATGCTGCTTCATAACATTTAGTCTTCCATATTTTCTTGGTGAGGTTTGTTTTGCTAAGTGTATGACATTTTTTTTTATATAGGTGATTTGTATCTGTTTTTATTACTTTTGCTTTCTTGATTAGTATTAACAAATGTTCATTATTATCTAGGTGCCTTGGTGGATCAGGCAGTATTTGAAGAACTTATCAGAGATCATTTGCCGCAGTTGACTGATCACATGACGGACATGACCTTTTTCTCCTCTGTGTCCCTCTCATGGTTTCTTACCCTGTTCATTAGTGTTCTGCCTATTGAGAGTGCTGTCAATGTGGTGGACTGCTTCTTTTATGATGGGATCAAAGCCATCCTTCAGCTGGGACTGACTGTTCTGCACTTTAACATTGACAAGCTGCTAGTCTGTAAAGATGACGCGGAGGCTGTCACTATACTTAATCGGTATGAATGTTATAAATTCTCATCATATCTGTTTAAAGCTAGAGAAAAAAATGTAATAGAATGCAGCACAGCAATCCGTGTGGATGTTAGTATGAGCTTCATTTTTCAGACTTAAGCTGGGCATACATTGATTGAGATATATATATATATATATATATATATATATGTATATATATATACAGTGGGGCAAAAAAGTATTTAGTCAGCCACCAATTGTGCAAGTTCTCCCGCTTAAAAAGATGAAAGAGGCCTGTAATTGGCATCATAGGTAGACCTCAACTATGAGAGACAAAATGAGAAAAAAAATCCAGACAATCACATTGGCTGATTTGGAAATTTATTTGCAAATTATGGTGGAAAATAAGTATTTGGTCAATATCAAAAGTTCATCTCAATACTTTGTTATATATCCTTTGTTGGCAATGACAGAGGTCAAACGTTTCCTGTAAGTCTTCACAAGGTTGGCACACACTGTTGCTGGTATGTTGGCCCATTCCTCCATGCAGATCTCCTTTAGAGCAGTGATGTTTTGGGGCTGTCGCTGGGCAACACGGACTTTCAACTCCCTCCAAAGGTTTTCTATGGGGTTGAGATCTGGAGACTGGCTAGGCCACTCCAGGACCTTGAAATGCTTCTTACGAAGCCACTCCTTCTTTGCTCGGGCAGTAAGTTTGGGATCATTGTCATGTTGGAAGACCCAGCCACGTTTCATCTTCGATGCCCTTGCTGATGGAAGGAGGTTTGCACTCAAAATCTCACGACACATGGCCCCATTCATTCTGTCCTGTACATGGATCAGTCGTTCTGGTCCCTTTGCGGAGAAACAGCCCCAAAGCATGATGTTGCCACCCCCATGCTTCACAGTAGGTATGGTGTTCTTTGGATGCAACTCAGCATTCTCTCTCCTCCAAACACACGAGTTGTGTTTCTACCAAACAGTTCTATTTTGGTTTCATCTGACCATATGACATTCTCCCAATCCTCTTCTGGATCATCCAAATGCTCTCTAGCAAACTTCAGGCGGACCCGGACATGTACTGGCTTAAGCAGGGGGACACGTCTGGCACTGCAGGATCTGAGTCCCTGGCGGCGTAGTGTGTTACTGATGGTAGCCTTTGTTACATTGGTCCCAGCTCTCTGCAGGTCATTCACTAGGTCCCCTGTGTGGTCCTGGGATTTTTGCTCACCGTTCTTGTGATCATTTTGACCCCACGGGGTGAGATCTTGCGTGGAGCCCCAGATCGAGGGAGATTATCAGTGGTCTTGTATGTCTACCATTTTCTAATTATTGCTCCCACAGTTGATTTGTTCACACCAAGCTGCATGTCTATTGCAGCTTCAGTCTTCCCAGCCTGGTGCAGGTCTACAATTTTGTTTCTGGTGTCCTTCGACAGCTCTTTGGTCTTCAACATAGTGGAGTTTGGAGTATGACTGTTTGAACTTGTTATCAGAATAAAAGACATCTGTCCACAACCTCAAACAGGTGCCATTGATACAGGTAATGAGTGCAGGACAGAGGAGCCTCTTAAAGAAGAAGGTACAGGTCTGTGAGAGCGAGAAATCTTGCTTGTTTGTAGGTGACCAAATACTTATTTTCCACCATAATTTACAAATAAATTCTTTCCAAATCAGCCAATGTGATTGTCTGGATTTTTTTTCTCATTTTGTCTCTCATAGTGGAGGTCTTCCTATGATGGCAATTACAGGCCTCTCTCATCTTTTTAAGTGGGATAACTTGCACAATTGGTGGCGGACTAAATACTTTTTTGCCCCACTGTACATACACATACAGTTGTGTTCAAAATAATAGCAGTCAGACATCACTAACCTGATCAATCACTGTTTTTTGTAGAAATGATATTTCTACATGGCAAATAATTTACTAGCAGGTGTAGTAGAGTAATAGAAATCCAACAGACCCAACAGTCATGACATGCATGCTGCTGTTTCTGTGTAATTGAATCACTAATTGAAAGGGGCATGTTCAAAATAATAGCAGTGTGAAGTTCTATTAGTGAGGTCATTCATTCTTTGAAAAACAGGTGGCAGTTATTGCCCCTAATAAGGAAGGAAGGCAGCAAATGTTGTACATGCTGGTTACAGTGCATTTCTCTCTGAAATTCTGAGAAAAATGGGTTGTTCCAGACATTGTTCTGAAGAACAGCGTACCTTGATTAAAAAAGTTGATTGGAGAGGGGAAAACATATAAAGAAGTGCAGAAAATGATAGGCTGCTCAGCTAAAATGATCGCAAATGCTTTAAAATGGCAACCAAAACCTGAAAGACGTGGAGAAAGCGAAAAACTACCATTCGAATGGATAGAAGAATAGCAATCAGCTCCAGGAAGATCAAAGAAGGGCTAAAGTTACCTGTGAGTACTGTTACAATTAGAAGACGCCTATGTGAAGCCAAGCTATCTGCAAGAAGCCCCCGCAAAGTCCCACTGTTGAAAAAGACATGTGCTGAAGAGGTTATAATTTGCCAAAGAGCACATTGACTGGCCTAAAGAGAAATGGTGCAACATTTTGTGGACTGATGAAAGTAAGATTGTTCTTTTTGGGTCTAGTGGCCGGAGACAGTTTGTCAGACGATCCCCAAACTGAATTCAAGCCACAGTACACTGTGAAGACAGTGAAGCATGGTTGCGCAAGCATCATGATATGGGGAGGTTTCTCATACTGCGGTGTCGGGCCTATTTATCGCATACCATGGATCATGGATCAGTTTGAATACATCAGAATACTTGAAGAGGTCATGCTGCCTTATGTTGAAGAGGAAATGCTCTTGAAATGGGTGTTCCAACAAGACAACGACCCCAAACACACCAGTAAACGTGCAACATCTTGGTTCCAGACCAACAAGATTGACATTATGGAGTGGCCAGCCCAATCCCCAGATCTTAATCCAATAGAAAACTTGTGGGGTGACATCAAAAATGCAGCTTCTGAGGCAAAACCAAGAAATAGATAAGAACTGTGGAATGTAGTCCAATCATCCTGGGCTGGAATACCTGTTCACAGGTGCCAGAAGTTGGGTGACTCCATGCAACACAGATGTACAGCAGTTCTCAGAAACAGTGCTTATACAACTAAATATTAATTAAGTGATTCAAAGGAAAGCAAAATCTTCAAACATTTTTCAGTTTATATAGTGAATGTTTGAGTTTGTAAAGAATACAAACACTGCTATTTTTTTGAACAGTCTAATATTCCCTTTTCTTCAATTTTTTTTTTAAGAAGAACAACACAAATTTGATATATTTTTCTTCATGTTTTGATTTGGAATAGAATGTGTAGTGTTCCCAATGCATTTGTGTGTATGGAAATAAAAGCTATTAGAAGGATTTTGAGCTTTATTTTCTTTTTTCAACACACTGCTATATATATATATCGCAAATATTTTTTATTTTTGTTCAATTTTTTTGCCTGCAGAATCATACAGGGCCTCGGCTACATCATTTCTAATGGTGGCCTTGGGAATCCCATGGGAAACTTTACTAGATTGTACTGGTCACTGGGTCGGGGAGGAGGGGGACTGAGGGTAGGGACTGCTATTCAAAACTCTCTGCAAAGAGGAATTGTTATTCAGGATTTATATAGCACCAACAGTTTGCTCAGCGCTTTACTCATGCATTGTGTGTGTGTGTGTTTGTGCTGGGCCATGCCTGCTTTAGAGCTTTGCTGCTTTTTCTGGAGAGCCACCCAGCTCCAGTCCTGAAAGATGAGGCCCTTGACACTGCTCCTTTGTGCTGTGCTTTGTGTATGTCAGTGTTTTGTGCATATCAAAGATCAGTGTTCTCAATATGTGGTATGTTTTGTGTCTATTGCAGGAAATAGTATGTGGCTGTGTAGAGAGAATGGGCACCATTGTAGAGAGAGCATTATATATACAGTATATATTTCTAATGGTGGCCCTGGGGATCAATCTTTGTTCCTAGCTCTTTGTACTTAGTGGGTACTTCCCCATGTTCATTGGTCACCTGCCTCCAGCTAGCTACCTTTCTGTGCCATTTGCTTTCCTTTTCCTTTGCTGGTTTGCATACCTGGCTGGTTGACCAGAGAGGGAGTAGGGCAGTGATCTAGTGAACAGGCGAAGAGCCAGAGGAGTGACCACTGCACTCTGGGACTGATTTTATTTGATCCCATTGGTCCCTTTATTTTATTTTTGTTTTCTCCCCATCTCTACCTAGTGGTAGTTTTTATTAAGCTGTGGTGAGTGTTGAAACATGCTTTACAGTTTAGATGTGAATCTGCAGTGTCTCCAATGATGTCCTACTGAAGTCATTGAGCTGATTCAGAATTCTAACAAGCAGCGCAGGTGAAATTTTGCAATTTCTTGAAGAAACTTCATTGGGCTGAGTGTCTTTACTGGGCTGCAAAAGTAATTATAGTATAGTACAAAGGTTGCCATAGATTGCTATACCCAAAACAGAACGAAAGTGTTTGATAAATGTTTTTTTTTTTTTTTTTTTAAATATGATAACATGTTCACTGTAGGACAGCAGTAAGATGACTTCTGGCATGATGATGGTGTATGGAAATAACATTTGATTGTCTGCAGGTTTTTTGATAATGTTGTCAATAAGGACAGCCCGCTTCCTTCTTCTGTGCAGCAAGCGTCTTCTGGCTGTGAACGGAAAGGCAATAGTGTGAAAGTGGATATCACAGACCTTATCAGGGAGTCAAACGAGGTATGTTTTCTTCAGTATATTGCTGAACAAATTTTATCTGCCATTAAGGGGATCGTTTTGACCAGTGATAAACATTTTTTTTTTACTTTTGTAGAGATTTGGAGCTATTCGCTATGAGGATGTAGAAAGCATGCGCTCCAGAAACCGCCTGTATGTCATCCAGACTTTAGAATTGACAACAAAACAAAATGTGGTATGTACAGTGTATACTTAGCAGTGTTACTAAACCTAGGTCCTGCATTCACTGTATCTGGTCTTCCACAGTACACACTACATGAAAATGCAATTATTTTAGTAAATATAAATTGCTAAATACCTTTTCTCATCAGTAATTAAGCAGTCTTGTGACTTCTATCACTGTCCAGCAGAGCACATGTTAAAGCTTGTAGGAGGAGTTTTCATTTTGCTCTAGGAGGATGCTGAACCCCTGACCCCTCTCTGGGCACTGTTGATTGGCCCTGTGCTGATCACGTGCACTCTCCCAAGAAAAAATAACCTTTCTAGCAATACACACCAAACTGAGCATGTGCATGAGTGTCTACACATGATAAGAGGGAGACACTGGAAGAAGGGGAGGATAAGAGAAGAGAGGATCAAACTGTGTTTTACACAATGCAGAGGATTAACCCCTTAGGATCCACAATGAGTATAACAAGCATGCCTTACTGCATATACAGACTGAATTTACTGTTGTGGGTTTAGTAACACTTTAACCATTTCAATACCGTGCAATTTTACACCTTCCTGCCCAGGCCAGTTTTCAGGTTTCAGCGCTCTGACACTTTGAATGACAATTGCACGGTCATACAACACTGTACCCAAACTAAAATTTTATCATTTTCTTCACACAACTAGAGCTTTCTTTTGGTGGTATTTAATCACCGCTGGGGTTTTTATTTTTTGCTAAATTAACAAAAAAAGATCAAACATTTTGAAGAAAAAACAACACATTTTTCTTTGTTTCTGTTATAAAAGTTTACAAATAAATAATTGTTCTTCATAAATTTAGGCTGAGATGTATTCTGCTACATGTCTTTGGTGAAAATAACCCAAATTAGGATGTATTTTTTAGTTTGTAGGAAAGTTATAGAGTTCACAAACTATGGTATAGATCTGAATGCTGATCAATCCCGAAGTACTGACAGCCAATCTAATTTCTTGAGGTCCAAGAATGTCAGAATAGTACAGATATCCCCAAATGACCCCTTTTTGCAGAGTAGACAGTCCGACGTACTTCATAAGAGGCATGGCGAGTTTTTTGAAGTTGTATTTTTTTGTCATAATTTTTCGGAAAATGAAAAAATTTAAAAAATTATTTTCACTATTTTTTTTTTTACATACTGTCACCAGTGCAGTACAGCGTCATGATATAACTGGCATGGCGGTGAACAGGGACACTGACTGGTGACAGTATGAAAAAAAAAAAATATATATATATATATTTTTTTTTATTATATTTAATTTTTTATTACCTTTTGTTTTAATTTTTTTTAAGATTTTTTTTTCATATTTTACTATGACCAAAGTAGTACAATGTTACCATAGTAACATTGTACTACTTTGGGGAAGTGATCAGTATTTTTTTTTTTTTACACAATTTGCTTATAGCAAAGAATTACTTTGCTATAAGCAAGCATTTATCTGAATGAAATCGATTCATTCAGCTTTTTTTTTTTTTTTTTTTTTTGTGCTTAGCTGTGATTTGGTCACAGCTAATCACATGACATGTGCATGTGATTAGCTGTGACCATTCACAGCTAGGCACTAGTATACAATGGATGGCATCATGAATGAAGCCATCCATTGTATACAACTGTCATGTGACCTGCTGTGATTGGTCACAGCAGGTCACATGGTACCAGCAACGGGAGCCGGTACTCGGATCTGTCATCGGCCGTGTCCGAGGTGCACGGCCGGTGACAGATCGCACTGCTGCGCCGCTCTGCATTAGCGCAAACTGCGCATGTGCGGGAGCACGCCAAATGGCGTGCACCCAGAGTGCAGAGACACCTTTGAAGCCACCAAACGGCCATTGGCCGGGCGGCTAATGGTTAAAAAACACACAGTTGCAAAATTCCTGGTTTAACAGAATGTCCAGGTCTACCATGTTTGTTGAAATATTCTAGATTTTTTTTTTTTTTTATTCTTACATGGTTTTCGTTCTGGTGTCAAGTAATCTTTAAGGATTGATAGTATTTTTTGTTTTAATCTGAGAATCTGGAGGTTTCTTAAGGAGAAATAGGCCAGTGCAATGCCTGTGTAGCAAAACATGCACACCTTTCTGTTTTCCTCACTAATGACTTATCTTCCTGTGGAAATTTCACTCAGAGTAGCAAAAAATGTAATAAGAAAGATAAAAAAGTATACGTAATGATTTATTCATATGTTGTTTGTAAGCACCGTATCAGCAGGAGTATGTGGCCAACTTATTAGGGGTTTGCTTTTTCTGTAAAAGTGAGAACCCCCAGCATTGGAACAGTAATATGCTGTGTGGTTGTGGAAGTTAAATCCAGGAAGCATGACCTTTTTGCATATGTTTTATTTATGCAGCATTGCTTCAAGCACTTATTACTTGTTGCCCACACTACCTAGGACTATTGTTTACGAAAAGTCTATTACTGATTAAAAATTTAACATGGCAATAAATGTGTAAAAACATGATTGTTCCTACAGGTTCGAGTGGTGTTGCAGGATGTCAAATTCAGCTCTGCTGATTTAGAGGAGCTCTATTATTTATTTAAGGTAAGAAATTACTGTTAGCTGTGTCAAGTATTAATTTTCAAATTACATTGAAAAGTGTAAATTTTAACTTCTGTTTTTCTCTTTTTTTAAAAAAATCCTTATTCGGTCAGACAAAGGGCTTTCTAAAAAGGGCTGCAGCTGATAAGAAATAATAGTTCTTTGATCAAACTATGGTAAATAGAAATCTAATTGGTTAATCATTAGTTGGATGGTGTACTAGGGAAACTAGCAGTTCCTCTTATGACAGTGACATTTTCAGTAGATTTGCGACTGTTCTTTCGGAAGTGAACATTGTGCAATATGGTCAAAATAGGATGAGGCTTTTAGTCAAACTGGGATAAGGGTATTGATTCCAATTTTGGGGTTTTTAAAAGTTGGGATGTACCGCCTTAGGTGACCGTTAGAATCAGTGCAATACTGGTAAGGCTAACATATACACAAAATAGCATGCACTTCAAAATACTATGCGGCAAAAAACCATACCAATGACCAATATGTAATTGATATAGATCTATATATATATATATTTCAGTATATACATATGTCATTCACAAAACATGTGTTTAATGCACACAAAATATTTCGGCATTTTGTTTTTATGGTAAAAGATGTGAAGACTACAAATGGGTAAACAGATCTGTGTTCTGATGCAATATAGCACACGTGTTGAATCCATTTATCTTATTAATGATAATATTTTAAGCAAACAGATGTCATTTTTCTACATCACTTTAATTAAAAGTTTCAATGAAACAACAGATAAGTAAAGTGACACTAAATGATATTCTTCTTTTTCAAAAACATACACACCCACAACTTAATGGCCCTATAATCTATTTTCCATTAAATTGTTACTGTATTTTTCTGCCTCCTTGTAACATTCTCCATCAGCCTCCAAACCTCGTTCCCCCCACCCCTCACTTCTATTTGTTTGAGGTCATATGTGATGCTCTATGTGCACCACACTACTTGTAGTCCATAGTCCCTAGTCAGTCTCGGAGAAAGCAAGAGAGGGTTGCTATGTTCCTGCACACAGTGGGACCATAGAGAACAAACATGGCCACCCTCTAACAGGAAGTTAGATCACAGCAGCAAAAAAAGGTACTCTTTTGAATTAATCATATTCACATATGTATTCTTATCTCCATTAATAAACCCTGGGGTGGGGCGAAACATGTTGGAGGCATGGTCTGGATGAATTAAGCTGAGGCTGCTTTTACCTGCTAACCACTCAGGTCGAGTGAGGATTGCGGCAGCCGGGCTATCATTTCCTATTTCTGCAACATACTTGAATATAATAGATTTTTTAAACCAGAGTTTAAAGAATATGTATACCCTCACCTTGTAAAACAACCCATTTTGTCTAATATATAAATTAATAAAAACATTAGCAACCACACACCCTCTGTCCTCAGCTGTATAAGGAGCTCAGAGCAGAGAAACTGCAGCACACTGATCTTCCCAGTGAGTGGCTGTGTGTGTGGGGGTGGGGGAGGAGGGCGTGTCAAACACATGCCTGATCATTGTATTAGCTCTCAGCACAGCCAGAAAACTATAAAACTAACAACGCTGTGCTCTCATACTTAGTGTGGTTAGTTTTTAATAGGATACTTTTTCATACAAGTACATGGAACAGCAGGCACATATCAGGAATATGAAATGTTGGGTTTACATATTATTTAATTTCACTTTAAATAAAGCGCAAAGCAACGGCTAATGGTAGTTGTTGAAAGATCACATGACCCATCCCAACAGCTCAGTTTCCACATGCCCTCAGTCACCAAGAATATATGATATTGTTGAAATTACCACACAACATGTGTGCTTTATTCTGTGAAATCTAACAGGACTGAGTTTACATTAATTTATATTTTATTAAAATCAAAAAGCACATATTTTTCCACTAATACCATTGCACACATTCACATTTAATTGATTAGCGACATACAGATTTTATTTTTGCTTTGACCATTTTGTATGCTTTTATCTATTAGAGAGAACATTTCTTGTCTTGTTACTGGAGTTTAAACAACAGCAGAATCCTTAGTCACCATGACCCAAGTCTGCCATATTTGGAACAGTATCACATAGACTGCCAACAGTTCCGTACCCTTTACCATCTGCTCAGCCCCTGGGCGTATTCTCCTAGTGTAGACTCTCTTGCACTGTGGACTTTCCGTTTGTTGGATGAAAACTCAGATGGTCTCATCAATTTTAAGGAATTTGCTTTTGCTTTTGGTGAGAGCATAATTTATACTATTTTACTACATATGTCTCTTTTAAGTGCATTGTACAATGGTCTCATTCTCTGCATTTCTCATTTAATTGCTCTAGATGTGATATTCAATGGCAGCTTTACTGACAGACTCAAGTTACTTTTTAAAATGCACATACCTCCAGGTAAGTTCACTAAAATATCCAGTTTATTGGCTGATATTACCAATGCTAGTGCCTCTTGGTCTCATGGTCCAATGTGGTAATTCACCATTTCTGCAGCTCTTTGGTCCACTATGGCCAGGCGATTGAATTACAGATATTGCTTACAGCACTACCTTAGGTGGAAATCTGGTATTGTGACAGCATGTTACAGATACAGTGGTGTTTTTAGGACACCACTGTATCTGTAAGAAAATGCCTTGTAATAGTTATTTTTGCAACAATACATGGGTAAATAAAAAATTGTATATCCTTATGCAACCAATACTTTCAAACGTTTAAACCAGGGTCTAGAACAGGGGTGGGCAAACTTTTTGACTTGAGGGCCGCAATGGGTTCATATATTGGACCCGGGGGCCGGACCAAGAGTAGATGAATGATGTGTATGTGTCATCCATAGTAAGTATAGTAATATTCCCCCATAGTAAGCATAGTAATTAATCCCCCATATAGTAATTCATCCCCCATATAGTAATTCATCCCCCATATAGTAATTCATCCCCCATAGTAATTCATCCCCCATATAGTAGTATTCATCCCCATATAGTAATTCATCCCCCATAGTAATTCATCCCCCTATAGTAATTCATCCCCATATTAATTCATCCCCCATATTAGGTCCCCAAGTCCCCCCTGTGTCAATTCACTTACCTTTGCTCCGCGCGTTCCTCTCGCCGTGTTCCTGCGCCGTTCCGGTGTAGCATGAAAATCTGTCTCCTATGAGGATCTGTCCCCCTCGACGTATCTGCGCATGTGCCAGTTTCAGGCATTAGCAGCCGATCGGCGATCTCCTGCACATGTGCAGATACGTTGAGGGGGACAGTTCCTCATAGGAGACAGATTTTCATGCTACACCGGTCTTCAGGGCGGACTGTGAGAGGAGCCTAGCTCCGCGGGCCGGATTAAAAGGTCCGCCGGGCCGTAGTTTGCCCATTGCTGGTCTAAAACATTCTAAACAATGGGTAAGTTTACTGCCCTGCAGGCTTTAGGGGGGCCGGACTGTGGCTGGTGGGAGTTAAAAAAAAAATGCTGTGTCGTCAATGGGAGTAAGCAATACCCCATCAGTGGTTTTAACCACTTAAGAGCCTCCCCATAGCAGATATACTGCTACAGGGCAGCTCCATTGCACAAAATAACGTAAAAATATGTGATTTTGTATTTCAGGGTAGGGGGTGCGCCACTATTGGCTTCTGGATATGTCAATCACCAAGTCCTGTCCGGGACTCGGTGATCTTTGGCAGGGCTGGGAGGGAAGAGATCTGTGTGAAAACAACTCAGATCTCTCTTCTGTCAGCATGAACATCTCTGCCCAGCAGAGAGATACAAAGCAACATGTGTCCCAAGTGAAACACAACACAGCAGCACACACAGTAAAACACACACTGTTAACCCTTTGATCAGGTGTTAACCCTGCCCAGTGTCATTAGTACAGTGTCAATGCTTTTTATTAGCACTGATCACTGTATTAGTGTCACTGGAGATCTCAGTGGCAGTTAGTCAGTTCCCACCCAGTGTCAGAATGTCCACCACAGTCCTGCTGATAAGTCGCTGATCGTCACCATTACTAGTATAAAAAAAAAAAAAAATTCCAGTATACAGTGCTCAGCATAAATGAGTACACCCCAACAGATTTGTCAGAAAACTTTTACTTTTCTTTCAGAATCAACATTTTCTTTGGGACACTATTCTACAAAATACTTTCACAAATGCAGGCCATTAATTGCAGACAAGATTTTTTAATTTGCAGACACAAAAAAAGTATTTTTCCTGACAAATGCATTCAAGACCATGCTGCAAAAATTAATTCACCCCAATGAAAGTCTTGGGAGCAAAGCTAAATTTTAGACTGCAAAATCCTAACAACAAGAATTCAATTACAGGTGAGTCTAATTATTCATTAAACAGGTGTCCAGCAGACAGTTGATTATAAAAGGGTGTTACTTAACAAAGAAAACCCCTTCTTCCCATCTAATGCTGTCAGCAATGGCACCACATGGAAGAGAAATGTCAAAAAACCTGAGAAAGAAAATATTTACAATAGAAAGGTGAAGGCTACAAGACCAGTAAAACTTTACGAATCAGTCAGAATACTGTAGCAAAAGTGATACAAAAATTTAACAAAGATGGAACTGCAACCATCGAGACATCCAGGCTTTTCGACTGGAGCATCTTCTGATGAGAAGGGCTGAAGAAAATCACCATGCAAGTTCACTGCAGTTAGCTAAAGAAGTAGAAATCCACACTGGAGTGATTGTTTCCTGTGACACAATACAGTTTGCCGAGTAATTGCATGCAAGGGTGTTGTCCACAAAGGAAGTCTCTCCTAAAGCCCATGCACAAAAAAGTCAGCCTAGAATTTGCCAGGGCCCATGCTGAAAAAGAAGACTGCTGGGTCTCTATTCTGGAGTGATGAGATCATGATAAATGTTTTTGGAACTAATTGTTCAAAACTGTATGGCTTCGCAAAGGTGAGGAATACAAAGAAAAATGCATGATGCCTACAGTGAAACATGATGGTGGCAGTGTCCTTATGTGGGGCTGCATGAGTACTGCTGGTGTCAAGGAGCTGCATTTCATTGATGGTATCATGAATTCACAGATATACTGCTCTATATTGAAATAGAAGATTCTACCATCCTCTGTGCCCTTGGTCGTCGTGCACCTTTCCAACATGACAATGATTCAGAACACACCATAAGGCCATTGTTGCATTTCTGAAGAAGGACCGGGTGAAAGTGATTCAGTGGCCAAGTATGTCTCCTGATCTGAATACAATCAAACACCTATGTGGAATTCTGAAGAGCCAAGTTGAGCATCACTCTCCATCCAGCATCCAGGCTCTAAAAGAGTTCGTTCTTGAAAAATGGAAAAAGATAGATATTGAAATATGTTGCCAACTTGTTCATTCCATGCCTAGAATACTTGGTGCTGTCCTTACAAATCATGGAGGTCATACAAACTAATAGATGTAGTAGTTTTTGTTGTGGGGTGTATTCATTTTTGCATCAACTAATTTAAGTAAAACTTAAGATTTTGTAATCCAAGTTATATTATTAACATTGCTTTCATTTAATGAGCTAAAAAATTGTTCTATGAAACAAATTTTTGTCAAAATTTTGGATCTTGTTCTTATGTTCATTGAGATATTGATTAAAATCTTACTTTTCAATAGGGGTGTACTCATTTATGCTGAGCACGGCATATACCACCATTTTTAGATGCTATACCTTTCACATAAGCTAATTAATATATACTTAATGGGATTTTTTTTAGCAAAGACATATAGCTGAATACATTTTGGCCTAAATGTGTGAAGAAATTTTATTTATTTTTTTCAAAATTGTCAGTATTTTTTTGTTTATAGCACAAATATGAAAAACACAGAGGTGATCAAATACCCCTAAAAGTAAGCTCTATTTGTGGGAAAAAAGGACATAAATTTAATTTGGGTGCAGCAATGCATGACTGCGCAATTATCAGTTAAAATAACGCAGCGCCGTATTGCAAAAAATGGCCTGGTTAGGAAGGGGGATAAATCTTCTTGAAGGCAAGTGGTTAATAGTGCCCCATTGTTGGTATCAGTGGGAGGAATAGTGCCCCATTGTTGGCGTCAAAGGCAGGAATAGTGCCCCAAGGGCCTGATAAATCCTAGAAAAGGGCTTCATCCATGCCCCCAGGCCACATTTTGGAGGCCACTGGTTTAGATGATACATTTATCATGCTGCTTCCCTGTTAAATCAGTTGACTTTTCAGTAATGTTTTATATTCTCTGTATTTTTGTATTAGCTTTTACTGAAGTGGGTACTTTAAGCCCTTCAGAGGAAGCCAAGCTTTCCAAAGAAGAACTTGTGCATTTCAGCCAACTTCATGGTAAATATAATTATGCTCTTGCAGTGCAGAGATGAGGATTACAGGTACTCATCCTTATCAAAACATGCCACTACAGAAGTACAGTATGTAATGAAAAATTGAATAAGCCCTTTCCCTATGTATTGTAATAAACTGGCCATCAAATCTGCATTTAATTTAACTCTTCTGCACTTGCTCTGTGAACCTATTCTGTTTATATTGATTTCTGGCTTCCAGATTTTACTTTTTAAAGCTGTATTAAACCCAAATTCAATCATGTAATTTTTTTTTTTTTTAGCGAAAGAATGTATACAGCTTAATACGCATACACAAAATGGAAATAAAGACCAACAACCATACAGCAGAACAGACTTGTGTTTACAACAGCTAGCAGCCCAAACTATTGCATAACTCCATTCACAGAACTAATCACAAAATATGCTGCATACCTGTACACAGTGATGCTCACAATTATACATCAACATTTTCCCACATGCCTAGCTCATGCTCAAAAAAATATATCCATGCATGTTCAGACACAAGCATTTACATGAGATAACAGGTGCATAACATTTTGTAATAGTGGCAGAAATGCCACAGCTGAGGCTGCCAAACACCGCAAAACACAGGCACTTTGTATGGCCATAAACCTGTGACTTCATTTACATGAGCCCTTGTTTTTTGTACAGCTTTGTGCCCAAGAACAATGCTTTTATAGGTAGTTGGCTTTAAGCCTATAGCAGCATCTTTTTTAGAAGACACTCTGCAATTAGCATCTTCCATTTATCTGCACATCTCTCTTGCACTGAGCATTTAAACAATACAATCCAAACTATTGTAATTGTAGACCAACCAATGCAAGAGCTTACCAATTGTTAGATGTGATGGCTGCATTAGTTCCCTTTTTGGGCTTTATTTCTTCTATTTTCAGCTGGTGATCTGGCCAGGAAGTTTGTTGTTTTTCAGAAGCTCAAGCTCTCCAGCAGAATGTATCACTTTACTTGAATGAGACAGACCATTTAGCACTGAAAGATCAGCTTTTATTTATTTATATAAAACCTTTATCAGCAACTGATTATAAAGTGTCAGCTGGAGTTTGTCTTCAAATCTGCTGTTACATTTAACACTCCCCTCTCCCCAGACTGACAATACTGTTGTCTGCTGTGCTGCTTGCCTCCCTCAGAGTTGTGTCTCATTAATACAGGGGGTGTGTTACTGGCCAGATCACCAGGTGAAAAAAGAGGGAAAATCCAAAGAAAAGAACATTAATGCAGCCACCACTTTGAATGATTGGAAAGCTGCAACATATTACATTTTTGGTTTTGGGTTTAATATCTCTTTACGTTTAGTGTGCCCATGTCACCATAACGTAAGTGGTTTTCATTTTATTTTGAATATGCTACAGAACAAAAAGGAATGTCGTTTAATTAAACATATACAGTATTGAAAACCATGATTTTGTACCTAAATTATTTTGTACAAAGTAATGCAATGCAATATGACTGTTGTATGCTAGTTCTGTTTATTACCAGTTTTAAAAGTTGGAGGTTCTTAGCGACGGGTTTTCCATTTTGATAATTACCTCCAAAATAGCAGTTAATTTGAAACCAATTATAATATTTAGGTTGTAAGAAAATGGTACCATTCCTGGAGAAATAGGGAATCGGGCTTCCTCTGGAGACTGGTCATTTGACCAAGGCAGAGGCATCTGTGAGATGAGTGTTCAGGCAGTTCTGCTAATTGACTGGTTCTGTCTAGCATCAGTCTCTTTGTGAAAATTGCTGCAGCTTTGGACAGGCCTTCAGAAGTAACCTGCTTCTCCATGAAAGATGCCACGGTCACTTCAGTCATCAATTTGTATGTGTAGTGGGGCATCCAAGTGACAGTCCAACCCTAACTAGCAATTTTCTTAAGGATATGGGCTTGTTTAACAGTTAGAAGAAGTTCACTCTGTGGATGTTATTTGAGTTAGAAACTACAAAGATAGCTATAACTCTCCAAATGCAGCTCAGCAAGTTTGAATTCTGTCTGTGTTTCTTTTCTGTTGCCATCAGCCTTTGACGCTGTCATCTGTTTCCAGCGACACCAAGCCCCCAAGTATCATTACATTGACACATGGGAGATCATGCACAGCTCTTCTCTTGTGCTTCACTCCCGACCACAGAACCAATTAAAGGCGGTGTATAGTAGGAGGAGTCAAGCAACACCATAGGGGGACTTTGGTGCTGCTGCAATCTGACAGCAGCTTCAAAAAAACTAATAACAAAGGAACAAAAACATGGACAGCATTCAAAGGAATTCAGTTGGTGCATTTAGAAAGGTTTTAGGATTTCTTTACCTTTTCTTACTCAATTACCATACACAAGGTGAACCTCTTTTGTTCTGGTTTTATTGCTGTCTTTGTCCTTATCATTTTGGCAGTAGGACAAAGGAAGGGAATTAGGTCACTAGGACATGATGTAGGCAATGCAAACCTCTACACTCCCCCCCACACTAAAGTTTTTTGATGCTGTATTTTTTTCTCATTGTGGAGACTCCTTGGAAGTTCATGTCCCTTTGTAGTCTTGTCATTGGAAGAGTAAGGTAAAAAAAAAAAAGAACTCCCCAATGTAGACAAAAATGACAGTAAAAACCTGAGAAGTTCCAGCCCTACCTGAATTTCTATGCAAAACAAAAGACATTGGCTACAATTGGCTTTATAGCTGTGATGTATTAATTGTGTTTGGACTGGTTTAAAGTGGTTCTAAAGGCTGAATGTTTTTTACCTTCAAGCATTCTATTCTTGAAAGTAAAAAACCTTCAGTGTGCAGCTCCCCCCTCAACCCCCCTCTAAATACATACCTGAGACCAATCCTGATCCAACAATGTGCACAAAACAGAACCTTTCCCGGGTCTCTGCCTCCTCATTGGCTCCCGCTGCTGGCATTCACAGCCAACGAGGATGGAGCAGGGGGTTCGGACCAAGCCGCACTCTGTGTGTCTCAGACACACAAAGGCTGGCTGCTCAAGAGCGAGCACGCATGAGTGCCCCAGAGCAAGACAATTGCTCCTGGGGACACTCAGCAGAAGGCACGGGCCAGGAGCTCTGGCGGGGGACCCAAGAAGAGGAGGACTGCTCTTTGCAAAACCATTGCACAGAGCAGGTATGTATGACATTTATTTTGTAATCTGAATCTTTACAAATGCTTTAATAGCTCTTAAGATAATGATAATGCAGCTAAATAATTTCACTCCATGTTTTGATGTAGAATAGTCCTTGTGTATGATTATAAAGACCATCAGTTGGACAGTGCTGTTATAAACAATACTGAGATGTAAACAGGCAATGATTAAAACTATTTGCTCCCTATAACAAAACCGTTTTTGTAAACTTTTCTAGGTGAAATACAAAAAAAATGTTCTGTTTTTTTTTCCTAACAGTATCATGTCCTACAGAAAATCACAGTCCTGAGGACAAAACAAAGAGCCCCGAAAAAGGTACTCTTGTAGACTTACTATCCTTGTGCAGCATGAAGTCTATAAAGCGCGCCATAGAAATGTTAAGGCACAATCTGACTAAATGGCCTGTAAATCCCACGTGTATTAGGGAATTACTTACAGATCTGGACAAAATTGTTGGTACCTTTTTACATCTCATTGAAAGAATACTTTATTCCTCCTGAAAAGTGATGAAATTAAGCGCAATTGTCCCGTGTATAGTTGCATGCTTTTGGTATGTCTCAGAGTAAGGACAGACAGTGTGAAAAGAGATAAATGAATGCTTTTTGCAAATAGATATTCTTAAATGGCCTGGACAGATTTGTTGGTACCTCTAGGAAGGATTATAAATAATTACTATCACACATCTTGTATCATTTAATCAGTCAGTCAGCCTATTAAAATGGAGAAAAATAAACACTGCTGTCTGGTATCGTTGTATGCACTACACTTAACATGGGCCAGAGAAAGCAAAAGAAGAGCCTTGTTTGAGTACATGAGAACAGAAGTTATAGACCACTATGCAAAAGGCACAGGCTAGAAGACCATCTCCAAGCAGCTTAAGCTCCTGCAACTGCAAATATTATGAGGAGGTTTTAAAGAAGAATTTTCACCATACTTGTCATGTGTTCCTCCATTTCCTCAGGGTAGATAGTGCACAAAAATCTTGTTTGCATTGTTAACCTCTAAGGGTCGGTTCAGGCAGGAATCGCACAGGACCGCATGCAGCATTCCCATGCAGTGTAAGTTTGCAACCCATTTATTTGAATAGGCAGCAAATCGCACCAAAACACAGGAAAAGTAGTGATTACACTACTTTTAAAAACACGCACCAAACCACATGGTACTACGGTATAATGTGATTTGGTGCCCACAAATGCAGTGCGTTTTCAATCTGTGCTTGGGGTGCCATTACAATACATTGGCACCCACAGCAGATCACAAAGGCAGTGTGTTCCAGCGCGCCTTTCCTGCACCGCAATCTGGTGTGAGCCAGCCCTAAAGGTTGTGCAGCAATATTAAGTTAACAGACCTGTAATTTTATTCCATTCCATATTGATTTGTTTTATTCTGTTAAATCAAAAGCAAATCTAATTTTTTTTTTAAATATAGAATAAACAAGGTTGGATACCAATTACTTTTTCCTTTTCAATTTATTTCAGAGAAAATTGTAGATGGCTACCAACAAATCTGTTAATCTGTAAGTGAATAGCTTGTTGAGGAGGGAGCACATCCAGAAACCTCCACAACAAATTATTTTGAGAAACACAGTAGTGACTAGACAGTGGGATTGATTTACTAAAACTGGAGAGTGCAGAATCTGGTGCAGCTATGCATGGTAGCCAATCAGCTTCTAACTTCAGCTTGTTCAGTTAAGCTTTGACAATAAAAACTGAAAGCTGATTGGTTTCTATGCAGAGCTGCACCAGATTTTGCACTCTCCAGTTTTATTACATCAACCGCAGTGTTTTTCAATTTGTCCAATTGATCTTCCTTTCCTGAAATTGGTTGGCAGGCTGACTGGAGTTCTGGTCTGCTTGAGCCCATAAACATGAGATTGGCATTTAATCTGGCAGTGATTACCTTCTACATGTAGCCATTTGTAGTTATTTCTCTTGTGATTTGGTCAAGTGCATAATTACATTTGTTACTTGTATTGTCAACTATAGTTTACATACGTACTTGCCATCTTTACACAAAATCAGTTAATGAAATGCTATCAAGTGAAAACGCTGAGTTATGAAGTGGCTTTATAATGCCACTGATTCCTCATACACAGGTACAGTTGTGTTCAAAATAATAGCAGTCCAACATTACTAACCAGATCAGTCAGTGTTTTTGGTATAAATTATATTTCTACACAGCAAATAATTTTACTAGTAGGTGTAGTGGAGTAATAGAAAACAAACAGACCCAACAGCCATGACATGCATGCTGCTGATTCTGTGTAATTGAATCATTAATTGAAAGGGGCATGTTCAAAATAATAGCAGTGTGGAGTTCAATTAGTGAGGTCATTCAGTCAAACAGGTGGCACTTATTTAAGGATGAAGGCAGCAAATGTTGCACATGCTGGGTATAGTGCATTTCTCTCTGAAAATCTGAGTAAAATGAGTCGTTCCAGACATTGTTCAGAGGAACAGCGTACTTTGATTAAAAAATTGATTTTAGAGGGGAAAACATATAAAGAAATGCAGAAACTGATAGACTGCTCAGCTAAAATGATCTCAAATGCTTTAAAATGGCAACCAAAACCTGAAAGACGTGGAAGAAAATGGAAAACTACCTTTCGAATGGATCAAAGA